TTTAGGCAGAGACTAGCACTCCCCAGTAGCAATCCCCTTTAGGGTCGAACGTGCTTGTTCTCAAGTGAGGCAGCAGGCAGCAAAGACCCAACTTTGTAGTAGATTGATTTCTCTCCGCTGCACTTGTTGTACCCACACCACTTGCCCACTGCACGTGGGCAAATCTTCCAGGAGCAATTGGTGTCCGATTGCCATAGATTGGTGTGTCAGTGTGAGTTGTGTCAAGCACGCATTCAGGGGGTGCCTCTTGAGGGGGTGAATGCTGAGCCTGACGCTGATGACCAGGTTACTGCCGATCCTGCTGATCCTGATGCCATTGTCCCAGACGAGGATGAAGTCGGCTATCCCGTGTGCTCGCCAACCTTATCGCCACTGAATTTGCCTGTGTCACCATCTGCAGCAATACTAGAAGGAATCCACTCACCCCAGACTACAACATGAAGATTCCTCCCTCCACTTTCGACGAAGCAATGCAGCGTTCGGACTGCAACGATTGGCTTAATGCCATGCACAATGAGATCAACTTAATGTCAGAGATGAATGTTTATGAGTTGGTGGAGCTTCCAGCGGGACGCAAGGCGATAGGATGTAGATGGGTTTTAGAGTTTAAGGAGGACGCGAAAGGTGGGCCTGTGCACAAAGCCCATCTCATTGCACAGGGATTCTCGCAGGTACCAGGCATCGACTTTGGGAAGACGTTTGCACCCATTGCATGGCCATCCTCCATCCGACTCCTTTCCACACATGCAGCAGCTCACGACTGGGAGATTGACAGCTTTGATGCAAAGCACGCCTTCCTGTGGGGAAAGCTGTGTGAAGACACCTACATGCACCAGCCACCTGGCTTCGAGAATGGGGCAAGCCTGGTATGCCATCTTCTGTCTTCGCTCTATTGGCTGAAGCAAGCTGCATACAACTGGTATGAGCTTTTGCGTGCGGTTCTCATATGGTTGGGGTTCCTCCGTTGCGAAGCCAATTATGCCATCTTCATGTATGACCACGTCAATGGCAAGGGGGTGCACATCATCTGCATCATCGCATGGCACGTTGATGATGGCCTTGCGGGCTGCAACAATCACAAGTTCCTTGATTGGATCAAGGGTTGCATTGCAGATCGCTTTGGAATTGCAGACTTGGGACCTGTCATCAAGCATTTGGGTGTCCAGTATGTCCATTCGCGTGCTACTCAAGAGTTATGGATGCATCAACAGGAGTACATCATTTACCTTCTCAAAGAGCACAGCCTCCGTCAATGCAATCCCATCTCGCTCCCTATGGATCCAGTTTTTCCCTTTGGACAAGACACTGACGTCCATCCTCATATCAACAATCTCCCAACAGAATATTGTAAGCTTGTTGGGGAACTGCTTTACCTCGCAATGTACACATGTCTGGATATTGCCCTTGCCATCATGAAACTGTCTCAACACAATTCCAAACCCGAACTTCAGTCATTACACTGCCACAAAATGTGTCCTTTGCTATCTCTCTGGCACCCTGTCCTATCACGTGCACTACGGTGGAAAGAATGCGGACACCACCATTCATGGATTCAGCGACGCTGATTGGGCCACATGTCCCGAAGACCACATTTCCATCACCAGCTATGTCTGGTATTATCATGGTGGCCCCATCTCGCATGCAGGCAAAGAAGCAGTCAACTCAGGCATTGTTGTCCGTGGAGTCAGAGTACATGGCTTTGATGGGAGCTATCCAAGACGGACTCTGGACCAAGTCTTTCTGCAAATGCTTGAATATCACCTTCACACTGCCTCTCAAGCTTTATGCTGACAACACGGGCGCTATCGCGCTGTCCACAGAGGCTGCTAACCACATCCGCACAAAGCACATTGACTTGCACTACCATTTCATCCGTAAGCACATCAAGGCCGGCACCTTCTTACCCATCTGGGTCTCCACTCACCACAACAGTGCCGACATCTTCACCAAAGTTCTTCCGTGTCCTACGTTCATTGCTCATCGTGCAGGTCTCTCACTCGTGGCAGGTTGAGGGGGTGTGTTGGAGAGTTGGAGAGTCGTCCTCTGCATTCAGACAGATTAATGTTGCATTTGGCTATTGGGCAACCTCACCACTTCATACTGCATGCGTTATGCTTGGCATTGTATGGTTACACTCTTCTTGACATTTGATCTCCGTCTTGTTGTATCCTACAAGTATCTTGTCTCCTTGACATTTGCGTCCCTCAGTTGTTGTTCACCAACACTGAGGTACGCGTCTCGTTTATCTTGCTCTTAGCTTCACACTTACTTAAAGTTATCTTAGCGTACTTTCTAACAGGTACATTGATTGTGAATAAAGTTGTTGTTCACCAATGCTGAGCGTACTTTCTAACAATACTAACACTAGACAAAATTTAAACTTTTTCTGGTGACAAGCCCCGGCCTGGGCCGAGCCGAGCCCTGGCAAAGCCTGAGCCGTCTATGCAGGCCCGGCTCACATTTTTCCAAAGCCTGAGCCGTGTCAGGCTGAGCCCTAGCCCCGGCTTTTGAGCCGAGCCGGGCCGGGAACAACACTATTTGGTTCTGAGTCTTGGCCGAACCTGGAACCGGACTGTGAGTCCGGTTCGGAAAGGTTCAGGTTCGAACCGGGGTTCGGAACCGGACTACTTTCAATGTTCAATCAAGACCAAAGTTACTCATACATCATGTTTCTTAGTCAATATCATATTGAATGATTCTTCTATCCAAGGGCTTCTGTTTCCCGAGCAGCAGTCGAGACTCCTGGCAGGAGCGACTATATTGACCACATCCGCAATGAACTACGAATTATGCCATCAGCCTCAATGCGAAATCAAACACACGACTCACTGCCCCGATGTGCCACTGAGGCTGCTAATCCACGGACTAACTAATAATTACAGTACACAGCAAGACCCTATTGAAATTACATGGGGTGAGTAATGAATCCAGGATGCAAAACAAGCTACTACTCACACCCGGGGGTACGTAATTACAATGCTTACTGCAGCAGTCCTTGTCGTATTGGCAAAGCCAGCCTGTAGGCCTGCACTTCTTTTCCTCGTCGGCACTGACAGACATAGATGCTGTCAAAGCAGCAATGACAACGAGGAAGGAGAAACGCATTATTTGTGTAAGGTTATATGAGAGAATCTTTCTGAGGTGGGGAGGGACGTTGAAGACGGCCTGCTTTTATATCCTGAAAATCGTGTTGTGGGTAGGACTCGGACGTTCTGCTAATGGGCTGGTAGAATGGTTGCGCCTGATAGAATTTCATGGCGAGATTATATAGGCAGAACCTAGAAGAACCTTACGGCGAGAATGCAGGCACGATCTGGTAGAACTTGAGCCTCGGCAGATAAACAATCCAGACTATGCAAATCGTAGACGCGAATTCACAGAAACGGAGATGCAATATTGTAGGCCATGCCAAGAATTCCGTCTACTCCATGCGTTAATCATGATTGGAATGTAAACACTTACTGAAGGTAAAGGTGAGACAACTGGCAGGATTGTTCGTGACATCTGCGAATTGGAGACAGACCCGTCCGTCGAGCCAGTACCGAACTGGATGGACGACGTGAATATCTGCTTTATAGGTGGGTCGAAGAAGCACGCCTCAGAACTATGAGTGAATTCCGAGTGCACGGCAAAGAGAAACGTGTATTTTCTTAGCGAGCATAACCTTGCATGTTGGAGTGGAGAGCCGACCTCAATATCAGTACAATATCGAGTGTTCTTGGAGTCTGATAAAGATGAATCCAACACCAAGTGAGGTGCACAGCCTGGACATTGTTGTTGATTTCCTGGGGCTAGAAGAATTACTCATTGGGATCGCCGAAAATCTTGCGCTGAAAAGCAGTTCTCCAATAAAATCTAGTCATCAGCGATCCAATGAGCATGGAATTTCAATGGCAGCTCCTGTTAAATACTCATTCTACGACAAACAGAATGTTGGTCCGAGCATATAGCGTGAGCGGTAACTGTCAACCGAACGACGCGACCAGCATTGCGCGGACGACACAGCTAGTGCTGCCGTGGTCCGGTCCCGAACCGCGGTTCGAACCTGACCATTGGTCAGGTTCGTCCATGGTTCGGTCCATGGTTCCAAGTTTTGGCCGGACCGAACCGAAATGAGGTTCGCGGTCCGCTGTCTCCCGAACCGTTCGGACATAGGTTCGGACCTTCCCGAACCGAAGCGTCCTTGCGATATTGGCGAGGCACACACTCATGCTCACTTCGACTTCGACTTTGACTTCTCCCCTCATGGTCACGTCGACTTCTGGGATCCTCAAGCTTTGCATTGACGTTGAATTCTGTTCGGACGCTCGCATCCCGCACCCCCGGCTGTCTGAAAAAGCTCAATTTTCCTTGGCCCTGAGCTTCATAGTCTACCCGGGCCAATTGGCAATATTAATGTCGCGTGAAATCATATTGAGCTGGAGCATCAATCCAACAGCATGTGCAGAACCTATCCTAATTCAGGTGAATCTAGCTAAGGGCGTAATCGCAATCATTCCAGAATTCGATTACACGAGGCAAGCATATGGCCTATGCATGTACGATCAGGCTGTGTTATCCACAGCTAGTAATACCTGTCAAGTCCTCAACCACATTCCTCTCAATGGCCATCACAGAGACGTGGTCAGAATAAGGCGGACCTAAATGACCTCGAAGTACGACTATATCGACTAAGCTGCCATCTGTGCAACGCGCCACCTGCCTGTAATTATCTTGAACAATTCCGGAGGAATTCCTTAGTTAGGTATAAACCTTTTTGATGCATGCTTGAATTCATCTGACATTGAGCCGTATTTAGCATGCTGCAGGGGATCTCAGCCCAATTGACAAAGTTGCACCAACATGGTCTCGCATACACATCCGCCACACGAGCCACACAGCTGTTTCCTTCTGAATTACCATTGACAGGGAGAGGCTCGAAAGGAAAACCTTTCATCTGGAACGCAATCATATTAAATTCCCTTAAATAACAACAACAAACCAAACTCATCCCTTAATCCTTAATCTCGATGTTCCCGATCACCACTCCCCGCGCTCAACACCTCCAACGCCCGTCTCCTAGCATCAACCTGTCCGCGCCCATGCCCACTCACATACCCAAGACTCATCGCACGCGCACCTACCTCACCACGCCTAAACGCAGCACTCGAAGAGAAAGCACTGATCGCAGACGTAGAAGACGGCCCTTCTTTCTTTTCGCGTTTTCCAGGTAGTCCGCTTATAGCCCAGCTTACTTCCGCGGAACGCTTGATGCTCCAAAGCCAGATGAGTCCGAAAACGGGGGTACTCACTAGGACATTGAGTACTGCAAAGAGATCAGGGTAGCGCGCGGGTGGTGTCACTGCTAGCTCGAGCAGGTGGAGAATAATTATGGCTGTGTGTACGACCTAAGATCAGGTTTTGCGAGATGTGAGTGAACCGTGCATAAGAAGCGCTAAGCTGCTACGTACGGAAGATACGAGTTCCACAAAAGATCTATGGTGTGGTTTGAACGGATTGTGCCCGATCAAGCGGTTCCAGAGAAGAAGCATCGCAAGGTATTGAACACTCAGTCCATCTTTTTTGAGCAAAGGCCACATGCTACAACTTCAACAAGTGAACAGAATCCACGTTAGCGGCTTAAATGCATATTGAAGCGCACACTCCCTACCTGAAAACACCGATGTTGTTGCCCAAAGCGCCCCATAAGAATACATTGTCGGTAGGTGCAGCACCCGATAGAAGGAGTGTGAGAGGTAGCAGAGGAACCAGAATAGTCTTCTCATGCACCTGGAACGAGAATAGGAAGAACAAGAGTGAACAGGTTAGAAGTGCATAGGGTAAGAGTGGTAAAATTGGCGTAGGTGATGGCGGCACTGCCTGTACTATCGAAGTCGGCCCGTTCGCTGCAGGCTGCTGATTACACTGCGAGAGGTCCTATAACGAAGGAAGAGATTGAAAACTGGTGTTCCATGCAATGTCTCGACTCTCAATCACGTGGGAGAGGGCTATTTAACAGGACATTCGAACAAACCACAGTACTACTCGGTAGACCATCGTCAACATCGCTTATTCTGCTAAGGCCTGCCTCAAATAATTGTGCATCCTGCACAACATCCGGTGCGCCGTTCTTTCTCGAACTCGGCATCAAAATCAACTCGCTCAAGCACTTCCCTTTCTCTTCCAGTCGTTAGGTGCTGAAGTTCTTTCATCCCCTGCACTTTGTCATAACGATCGTCGAGGACCTTTTGGTCATAATATGCCCAATGCATACCCGAAATGCGCTTCTTCTGTTCATCATGCGTCGTCAGCTATGTCACATGCAGTAATATATTTCGCCTCACCCTTTCCTGGTACTTTTTGATCAACCTGGCTATATGAATAAACACTTCCTCCACATTGCGTCCATTCTTGAGCGATACCTGCATGAATGCGACGTTCATCTCCTCTGCGAGTTTATTTCCCTCTTCCATGCCATCCGTCAGTCATCTAGAGAGCACTCAGACAATCTCACCTTCCCAAGTGACTTCCATCCACATCGACCTATCTTCATCCTCCACCCGAACTGCCACGAGCATCCCAGGAATAGGGTTCGTCGCATTGTCCCGCTCGTGCTGCTTCATCCTCACGACCCGTCCATAATTCTCCCTGGCTAGCTCTAGCGACTTACGGTGGTCGGCGGAGTATATGAAGAGGAATCCGTCGCCTTGCTGAATGTATGCATTCATGACGTCTTTCTCGCTGTGCGTGTCCCATGTCTGTTAATTTTAACAGGAACGAAACGGAACCGGAGACGCACAAGTAGATGTCTGCGTTTCCCGGACCGAGGGTGTCGATTAACTCGATCGTTACTGGTTCTCCATCGACTATGCACTCCCTGATGCGAGCTGCAGCACAACATTCAATTAGCAGACGAATAAGTCATGTTTTAGACCCATTAAATACTCACGGAACTTTCTGTAGTCCATCGGATGTCCGTCAGCTGGCGTTTCACAGAACGCTTTTGCTATCTTGGACCTTGCACCAACTAGATCTTATCAGAGTGACTAACACATAAAATGGAAACTAGTGATTTACCAAGAGGACTGACGAACACGACTCGATACTTTGGTGGAGGCACAGGACAGATTTCTAGCTCCATGTCGTCATCATGTATGGGCTTCAAATGGCTCTCTGTCAACGAGTTTCTCGAAGATGCCAACGCGATACCTCCGCTCACCTGCAATTTTGGGTTCTCTCTCAGCGAGCGTGAATACGAGAGCATATCTTGGAACAGGAATGGTTTGTAGGAGGATCGTCGAGAATGTGCCACTCCATGAGGCTATTTGAGTGGTAGTGAACAAAGCAGCACGGCAGTGGAACCGAGCGCAAAGGGGCTAGTTACCGATATGGCAAGTGTCTTTGTTCGTCGGTGACTAGTCCACTGCTTCGTGCTTGTAACTCCAGATGGATATGTTTTCAGTTGTGTACTGTGTTATACAAACGCCGCGCTATCATACAAGCACTACACGATCCGACATCAAGATGAAATGGGGTTTGGATCACTTGGGCAAATTTTACCACTCCCAACGCCAATCGTCTTCTTTGATCCATGGCGGGCGTGATCAATTCGGGAAGCGAAATGTACAATGAATCTACACTACCACGCATTTGTTTTTGGGACGCGCATCAACTTTGAGCGATTCTGAACTCCATGACCATCGTCTCTACAAGATCATAAACTTGGGTGAGTGCTAGCCCAGCATTGGCCCTGTGAATGATCAATCAATTCGCCGAAGTACCACGATGTACTAGAAGGAACTTGCCCGAGGATCTTCAGCTCGTCCAAGGTTCGTTCCTTGGAATTCAGAACAAGCCACATAGTCATATCTGTTTGATATGTTCTGTGACTGCCTGCTCCGAAGTTCGGTAACATAGGTTCGGGGGCCTTGAGATCATGAATTCAGAATTGAATCAGGTTACACTCCGAGACTCACGATGGTTAACCCGTTAGTGCCTACGCCAGGTTCTTGCAATGTGTGAAAGAGCACGCAATCATCTAGTAGTACAAGAAATGGGCCCTGGAGAAATACTACATTGAACCGCAAATGACTCACGAATTAGCAATACGCTATCTGGTCTCATTGCCTTGCGAATGTTACGAAGGATCGTCGTTGCCTCAACGTCCGGCCAGTTGTGGATAATGTGCTTCAACTATACAGTAAAATGAACGAGTTGCTGGCGATGAATGAGAACAGATTCATGCTCTTACATAGTAGACATCCTTCCCAACAACAGGTACGTCCTCGAAAAAATTGATTGGGACGAACTCCACGCGCCCGTCGAGTAGTGCCTCGGGAGCATCCTTCTGCCATGCCTAATCAAATATCAATGATGAGCCCGCTCGAATGCCAATGTTTATCTGAACTCACGATTCGTGCTTGTACAATAACCTCCGGGAGATCATGGTTGGTGATTCTGAGATGAGGGAACATTTTCGCCAGAGGAACGGAAATAGCTCCTATACCAGATCCAACATCCACCACCGAGGATATACCGTCCCAAGGATATTCTAATAGACCTGCTTTACTCATGTTGTCGATTGAAAATGGCCACGACTTACGATGCAGCACTGCAGAAGCGCCCAACATATCACTGTGTCCAAGCATGGCTCTGTGAAATAGCTATACATATAACTCGGTGAGTCGTCAATCTGGATTATTCCGCACATACATCGCGTTGCTCCTCCTAGAAACTGTGTCAAGGTAGGGAAGGAGTGCGATGGCAAAAACTCACGTTATTCTCCATCATTTCCCACAAGTTATCCTTGTTTCCCTCCTTGCTGGAGGCAAATACTCGGGGTGCTTTGTCGACCTCATGCGACCTTGAAAATTCTTGGTCAATCATAGTCTCATAGAGAACTCCAGCAAATTTTGGGCCATCCGTGGAATGAAGTTGTGCGAAACACCCAGTGTTGTTCGCTGACTTGAGTATGAGGGAGAGTCGGGTGTTTGCGAAGACGTCTCGCTCGACTGTTGAACACATCACAGGCTTTATATAGATTTTTCACCCGACAGCATGGATGTTACCTTCTTTGAAGCAGCCCATGATGGATAAAGCTCGTAAGATGCGTGCAGTCTTGCTCTTGTCCAAGTCGACAGCGTCAGCCAGCCTATCCACGCTAAGACCTTCTGGGTGCTGGTCCAGAACATCTGCAAGGCGTGCTCGCAAGGCAACATTTGTGCATGCCCAATTGTAATTACAAACAAACTAAGGAAATCAGCAACAAGGAGAGATCACCTACGATCAGCACTCACATTCATCACTGTATGTTGTGGGGGAGCCAGTATTGCGCTCAATTGGTGGTATGCACCTTCGAGGAGCCTAATGGCCCTTTTGAGGGCAAGCGTATCTGTCGCCATGTCGAGAGGGTGAAAGGTGGTTGCATCGGCACTAGGGACTCCATATCCGGTTTTCTTGTATTCCGCGATTGCTTGGCGTGCAGAGGAGTTGATGATGCCCAAGAGAGCTTCAAGCTTGACCTCGGACTCGTTCAATTCCGACATCTTTCGCCGGGGCGTGATATGAAGAAAAAAAATTCTTCTCCTGGGTCAGTTGTTCTTATACCCCCTCAGCTGCTGGGAAAACGTAGTTCTTAAAAGGATTGGATGCTAAATGAGTGAGCGCACAAAGGGCAATATGATTGATTCAACGTTGCAGATCATTGCATGATCCCGCTAGGAAGAGTGTTGGAATCTATTGTGTGAGAGGCAGTGACAGCGATTTCTGTGAAAGCAACAACCCAGGAAATTGGCTGATACTTCCATCAGCGAGGATCGTGGACGTTCAATGAACAGCTACTTTTGCGATTGGCACACATCAGCAAATCAGTTTGCTTCCGTGGGTTCTGTACAGAACCCACAGGGTCTCGCAGAAGCAAAGTGATTTGCTGATGAGTGCCATTCGACCGGACGGACACAGTAATCTCTGGCAACCTCTGTATAGAGTTGTAATGGCAACTAAACTGCAGTAAGACAGCAACACTGCGTGACGGCGCTAGAGGGTGAAGGAAGGTCCAAGATAGTGCGGTGCGAGCGGGCGGAGGATAGAATATTGAAAGCTTAGTTTTCAGTATCAGCGACAGCGAGTATGGGAACTCAGATCTCAGATATAAGCCAGCGTGCTTCCAGCGAGGTTATTATTACACTACAAGAGGAACTTTATTAGGAAAAAGTACAATTTGTTACCACGATGCCTGCGCGAGCCTATGTAGCCAACCCGTAAATTCACATTAATTTCGCAAAAACTTATTTCCACCAAGTTACGTAGCGCAAGTTGAACACACGCCACACAAGGACTAAAAAGGTGCATAGTAAATTATATTAGTAGTGACTCAGAGCAGACTCACGGAACTTTCTGTAGTCTATCGGCGGATACCCGTCAGCTGGCGTTAGACAGAACACTTTTGCTATATTGCATCGACTAAATCTCGTCAAAGGGACTAATATGTTGAATGGAAACCAGTAATTTACCAAGACTGATGACTCAATGATACTTTGGTGGAGGCCCAAACTGAATTTCTCGCTCCATATCATCATCCTGTATGGGCTTCAAGATGGCTCTTGTCAACAAGATGTCAACGCGATCCTCCGCTCACCTGCAGCTTGGATTTTTCTCTTATGTATATCTTGAAACAGAAATAGCTTGTAGCAGGATCGTCGAAAATGTGCCACTCCAAGAGCCGATTTAAATGGTAGTGAGGGAGTGGGCTATCCTAGACGCTCGCTGTGGACTGCATGAGCTGGAAGACTGATAACAAGTCCACAGCTTCGTGTTAGCTTCGTGCTTGTAACTCTAGATGGATGTATTTCCGATTGTGTACTGCATCATGCAAGCGTCACGCTATCCAACATCAAGAAGCCTAAATTTGGCAAGTTCCTTCCTCAGAGGGTGCGAATTCGAGGACTAGAAACAGTGCACCAGTGCAATAGTGGCATACACTCCGGCATCGTTGAAGCGACCCTCTTAAATTGGACCCGTCGACGGACCTCGCTTTCGTAGAAGAGAACTAGAACTAGTAATGTAGCTACACGTTTCAAATACCCCGCAGCTATATATTTCTCTTTGCGGGAGTGGCTAGATGCCCAACAAAGCCGCATCGGATAGCCCTCCGCAGACCGTGCACCATGTTCACCTTGGCATTCTGAAAGCAGTAATCATTGCTCTTCAAATTCGAGGGCTGGTTTTGGCATAGGCTGGATGGGCTGCGTTACGGCTTTGGATTACTCCAGTGCGCTGACCTCGAAATCGTGGTCATCTAGCGATGAGAGGCTTAGAGGGAGCGAGAAAGGTGAGCTGATAAGAGAATGTATATCTCAGTCTCGGGAAACGGACTCGGTAATAAGTATAGTAGTACCTGATAAGAGAATATATCTAAGTATCTGTTAGTTCTAGTTGTAACGTAAAGCGGGAACTTCGACTCACATCTCGGTCTCGGGAAACGGACTGAGATGTTCGGTCTGACAACTCGTAGTTTTAAGGTAGTTAGCATAGTGATAAGTAATAAGCTGTAGCATAGGAAATAAATGACGACTTATGAGATTCTGTGACCGACGTCACTTGGTTGTAAGTTCCTCAATCGGTTAGCGCTCGCAATGTCTCACTTTGACATCTCCTGCTCGGCCTTCGACTCGGGCTTCAACAGGTCATTCTTCCCAACCGATGATATCTCGTGCTTATGACTGTGATCGTGAACCACTCAGCGACCGCCGTGTACAGTAGGAGCTAGATGCATATCGATATTAAACATTCCACGTCTATGAAACGCACTTCCCACCCACTATTTTACGGTAGAATATTCCTCGTGCATGGATCTCGAATTTGACCGAGTTCATCTTTCACCGGTCACCTCGCACAGTTCAAACTTCACTCCGTGAATCACGCCGAATGCGCCTTGCCAAGGCATTACGCCATATGAGTCACAGATGACATGTCGGTCAGAGGAATACTTGACACGAGGGAGTCATGGCCGTGTGTGCGCTCGCTGATCTGCCAGAGCCGGAGGTGCATATGCAAGGCAAGGATCGCGAGGATGATAACCTGGAGACTACATATGGGTGTGTTTTGTGAGTAGCAATGTGCAGAAGGATTTTGGGAGTGCGTACTCTTGGAACATGGCACGGTACTGATACTGGGTGGGCAAAATATCAACTACTCAGTAATACAGGGCTTTTGTGGTTCACGTACCTGGAGGAGCAGAGACGTAAGGACGTTCACGGCTGAGAAAACTTTCCGAACAAGAAAGATCCCCGGTAAGCACAGGAAAAATTATGCATGTCCTGACTCACACAAACCGCATCCGTAGTAGAATATATTATGCTTTACTAGGATGACATACATAGAGCCTTTCGTCATCCGCCAGTTTTGGATGGCACGTATGAGCGTGAGGGAGGAGAGTACTGGGGAGAGCGTCAGTCAGCATGCGTCTGTGTATAAGTCTGCTCCCAGCGACACACCCAGTTCACCCGCAAACAAGAGAAGAAACGGTATGAAGAGGTTGGCATTGCTTGTGCAACCTGTCAAGCCCGGGGTCACGTCTGGGAAAGTGGTGAGAGAATGTGTGAATGGCGTTGGAACGCCAACGGGGAGGAGAGTGCGTACATGGCGTGGTGGAATCAGCGATAAAAGAAGTACCGATGCATGCTGCGAGGACACCCTGATTGATGCATCTACCGCGAGTTGAGATGCGGTGAGGGCATGGGACTCACAAAAAAGACAGTTAGCGTGATTGCAAGCACAAATCTATTGTTGTTCCAGAGCACATATGTTCTGAGGACGAAAAAGGCTGAATGAATGTGATCAGGAACGCGCATATATCACGGAGAAATGAGAGATACCTTCAGAGCAAGCGGCTGATACTATGCCAAAAGCTGTGAGAGGACAACATAGCGCTCAGCAAGGACGTGCATATATGTATGTACCATACACGAACATAAATCAATATCAATCAAGGTCTGGCATTTCTGAAGATGCCACTCAGTTAGCGGGCAGTAAGTCTACTGTATGTTCACGTACATTAGGGTTCTCGGTGGGAGTGAAGTTCACTGAAAAATCACGTGTCAATTCATAGCAAGTGTGATGGAGCTTAACGCACGATATAGATTCGTAATGAGGACAAGAAAGGGCATGAATCTTGTAAGGATATAAAGGCCCTTCACCTTGTTCCAGCGCGTTCCAAGCAGGAACGTCCACTTTGAACCACATGTTATCATCAATATCACAACGAGGCGTATCTTGAACAAATATACCTCTTCGTGAAGTGAACAAATATAATCGTAGGTCTGGACAAACAAACGCGTTTAACAGCAGACGGAAACATATCAGGACAAGCCCACCCAGAATGTGGCCATCGACGCTGAGCCACGTCAGGACATGAAAGAAGCCGTTTGGACAGTACGCACTGCATATGTACTGGTGGCACATGGATCATCTATTATGGTCAAATGCCCTCGCATCGACAAGAAAGAGACGCACTGTGTATGTCTGGAGACTCCTCGCGGCTGCGATATCAGCAGCCGAATACTCCATCCGCGTTCGGTCAGTCGAGAGGCAGAAAATGGGTTTCGCACCAGGGATCCACACCATGCGCCTTCTTATATATCTAGTAATGCGTAAGCTGGTAATCCAAAAAGAATCCGAAATAGGGCGTAATGAAAGCAGCATTGTCATAGGCTTAGCTTGGTGATCGGGCTCCGTAAGTAATTCCCGGGCAAGTTGTAACAGCGCTTAGTAACTCGGGGCCTTCCAAGCCATTAACGTTAATACGGGTTGCTAACTTTCAGGTGAGTATTTGTTATTACCCAGTCACAATTAGTTAGTATTGGTATAGAGAAGTTCGCAAGACTCCCAAAATCCCTTCACCAACCCTACCCATCCCTATTCAGGTCCATAGCGGAAACACCTGGGGCCGTCACAGTCGTAACGGAACATCGCGTGTGTGCAATGCTAACCGTTTTGATACACGACTGCACAGTTTGCCTCCTGCTGCACCGACCGTGAGAAACACTGTGTTCCCGTCCTTCAGCCGAAAACAGCTGAACATCAAGTTACCGATGGTACAGCGCATCTCGGGCCAGCTACAATTAGAATACAAAGTCGAACAGGGAGTTAAGTTTTTGTGTCAGGGTTTGACGTGGAGTATAGCTGCGTGTTTTACCTGCATTGGATTGGCATCCTCCTCCAGGCTTTCGCAGGTCGCTGAGGATTTGAGTGGTAAGCTATTTTGTTAGACTCGGATCACCAGCATACACTCACTCGGTGGCAACTCGTCCGCAGTCGATGAGATTGGTTTTTTCACTGCTTACCTCTCACTGCAGGCACTACTCCCTGCCATTCTCGGGGTATGCCGATACCCGAACTTCTGGTAATAAGCTAGACCCTTTTGTTTTTCGAATAGAAGCGGTAAAGGGAACAAAATGAAATCTGGTCTATAGATATGAAAGTAGCTATAACAGCTGTTACTAACTGAGTTAGTGACAACTGCATTACTCACGGAGTACTAATGAAGCTCCCAGCCAGAGGCCCAGAACCCACTCCACGCTCAGCCACGCTCAAACAGCGCACGTAGAAAAACCTGGCTGAGCGTGTACACGTGTATATTCGAGCCATTTTCTGGATATCCCTCTAGACCGCATCGATGTTGAACGTTCTAACTAATTTAGGTACTGAAAGTCCCGGAAAAGGTGGGGAGACCGAGTTTGAAAATGTTGCATTGCAGAGTGATATGCAACACACTGTAACTTACATAAGGGAAGACGTAGAGGTGTGCTTGGAGATCACGTGCCATTAAACCCCCGAAGTGTGACATTGACAACAGCCTGCCTCCATTTGCCTCGACTGAAACTACTGGTACCATGGCTGCAATAGCGCGGTGAGATTCCTCTATTCCACTTTCAAAGTATCGTAAACATCTTCCAGATCTCTCAGCACTTGCATATTCTGCAAGATCATCAAGGGTGTGTGTACTTCTTCTCTTGAGTCATTCTGCGCCACAGACTTATCCACGTTGCGCTCCAGGCGAGATCCCGAGCTTCAAACTCATTGAAACAGACCTTTCGTTTGTCCTCTTTCTTCCATTAAATGATTGACACGTTTACCAGAGATCAGTTACTCATTCCTTGACATCGGCCCCCTCTCCAAGGGCCACGCTCTGATTATCCCTAAAGGTGCGTCAACATTCACCAAAACATATATTATGTTGCGGAGAGCTAGCGGTGATACGTGTGTATAGATCACGCAGTAAAGCTCCACGAGCTCCCTGATGAATACCTCGCGGATGCGATGCCCATCGCGAAGAAGATCGCTGCTGCACAAGGGCTCGAGAACTACAACATCCTCCAGGTGCGTTCCTACATCCGATCTTCGTTCCCTGCCGTTCAACCTGCAGAACTGACCCCACCATTAAGAATAACGGCCGCATCGCACACCAGGTTTGTCTGCTCCTTCCCCATCGGGCTTAGACAGCACTGACTGACACTGCTAGCTCGTTGACCACGTGCACTTCCACGTCATTCCCAAGCCTGATGCGACAGACGAGGAGGGGCTTGTTATCGGATGGCCCGCGAAGTCCGATGTTGTGGATGAGGTGAAGAAGTACCACCAAGAGCTCCTTGCAAAACTGTAGAGCGCGTCGTGAGTTGGTCATAATAACGATGAACTAGAAGGGAAGCTGTTTGATTAACTTCACAATTCAATTATGTTCTCGAGTCTCCATCTGGTCTCATAACAGTTCTCGATGAGATATTCTACCCTGATCGTGCGCTCGAAAAGGTCTTCATACGATCCCTACGATCCCCCCCTCAACAATCGCACTGTGACGAACGAGCAGATTAACTATACGCATCGAAGACGCAACAACGCAACTCATCACCCATCATGGCACCCGTCGTCACAACGTGCTCCCTGAACTCTACCATAGACAGCGTTACAAAATGAACATGCCAAGTACCCAAATACAATTAAGTCAGATCGACAAGAATGCGGCGTCAGCAGGTGTCCTCTATGGGGTAGTGCTGTCGACATCGGGCGCTGCCCTAAGGCGACAATAAACTGGATTTGAGAAAAATTAGGATAGTACACCCCAACTGGACAATAATTGGATTAAAGATATGACGAACCAACCCCGACCGAACAAGAGGACATGGTCAAACAGATACAGCAAGGTGTCTTCGCTGAATTATTCGTTGTCGCGCTTTAAACTGTAGCTTCTAGGGAAGTAGTATTGCAATATTTCGCTACGGGTATCAGGATTCATGAATGAGATATCTCACCGCTACTCTTCCGTTCCAGATGTTCACAATACAGTGCGTACAGGGAATTTACGCTCTCTCCGGTAACATCCTCGAAGAGATCGACTCTGTATTTCGAATCCTTCATGGATCCATTAAGCTTTCGGATAGTCCCCTCGCCACAGCGCTTCTCGATCCAGTCGAGGAAGTATGCCGTAGCATCGTACCCTGCGTCCCACTTCTCCGTAGCTTTGGGTCTCCAGTGTGGTGGAGCTAAATCAGCGTGCAGCCTCACGAAATCTACCAGTAGTTCGCAAGACAAAACGCAAGGATGGGGTCAAAACGTGCACACCTGCGATACCTTCGACGAGACCCCCTGGACATGTCCCTTGTGCATTGTACTGATAGCAATGTACAACCTCATGAACCAGCACGCCTAATATTTCATCTCGTGCACGGGCCTCTGATTTTTTGATCCAGTCGAGGGAGAAATTGATCTCTTTCATCTCATGCGTGCCCAAAGTATACGCTACGCCATCGAACGGTCTGAGAACGAGTGTGATGGTTTTTACACTTGGAATGCAGACGATTCGCAACACGTTTATTTAGAGGCAGTGAACCGAAAACCCGTAGTACTCACTTCGTGGGGGCCGTAAGCGAGGTGTAAAGCCAGGTATAAGATGCTTCTACAGCGAGCTTCAGTGCTTCCCTGGGCTTGACGCAATCAAAGAAGATCGATGCCCCAGGATGTGACAAGTCCTCCACCCTCAACACGAAATCGGGGATCACCAAAGGCGGTGGGGGCCGGGGATCGTGGGGAGGCATGGGTCGATGGGGGTATCACAAGGAAATGAGACGAGCAAGCAAGAGTATTTGCCAGATTTGAACAGCTCCCTTTATAGGCCTACGATAAGGTTGTCTCAGGGTAGGGCGGGAAATATGTTTAAAGATGTTGCCACCAGAGCTGGTAAAGATCAACCAATGGCCATCCATCGTCACGCTCAACAATAACAGCGCACCGAAAGTTCGCCGAGGTTCTGACAGCTTGGTCGTTGGTCAGGTCGTATGTTGTTTTTTACCTTCGATTATTAGTCACAAGTCTGTCACTGGGAGGCTCTATGTCGCCCAACGAGTCCGAGTCTAATTCAGACTCGTACTGCGCACTCATGGGTAAATAGAGTGTATTTGCAGCGCCCAAAATCAAAATCTCTTGGCCACTCCACCCATACAACGGACTTTGCCGGAGCTATATCTCGGCAGGTTACATACATCATGTTGCTGTTACCACATGTTCTGTGAAATACATAGCGTCTCAGAATCCAATTGTAATGTCCAGTGCTGTTGTTGATGCTGATAGAGTCTCCGAATTTCAATGCTTAACAGCTCAGCTTCGAGAACAGCAGCGCCAGGAAAAGCCAAGGCCTGAACAAGGTGGCCACCATATCACCATTGAGTGGCTTTTTTAAAAATCTTCGAGACAGGGAGTGTCAACGTACGGCATATGCAAGTAAAAATTTCACATCCCAACGTTGTTTGCAGGTTACAGGCTCCACACTTGCATGTAAACTTGTCGTTGCAAATACGCTCTAATTGAACTTGCACATGCACCTTGCGTGCTAACTCTTGAATCGTCATGGTACGGTGTACTCAGAATAAATAAGTAAATAACGAGTAAATCCACGAGCCACACCTATTTGGTACTCGAGCTAGGAAGTAAATATTGTCCCCGTCTGATCGTTATCTACTCATCCGCTACCGTTCACAGTAGAAGCTCGAGACTTATCGACGTTAAACAGACCAAGGCCATCCAAACGCGCTTCCCGCACACGACAAAAAATAAGCTCCTATTTAAAGTAAGTCAAACCCGAACCAAGCCCACCTCGCACAGTCCGAACCGAACCTCACGAACGACGCCGAAACGCACTGTATGCATATGTACTGATTGCACGCAGATCATCAACAGCCCTCGCGTATCGACCAGAAAGAGACGTACTATGAAGATCTGCAGACTTGTCGCTGTGGCGACGTCAGCCGAATACTGGATCTGCATTAATTACTTGGCAACAGGCACATTGACAACGGGCTTCGGATGCATGTCAGTGAACTGGCGAACGTATCAGAATGGTATTTATAAAGCAACGTCAGTAAAGGAGGCATTCGCCACGAAGGAGCCGTTATGGGCAAGTTGATCATGATGTCGTTGGTATGACTAGCGCAAGGTCGACCTGGCTCCCATAAGATGAAAACCAGAACTTGACTGCTTGATTGTAGTGGTGCAAGGTGACGTATGTACCAAATGAATATTAATACGGTTCACGTTCATATGTAACTGCAGTCCCTCTGCTGAAAGGGATGGTAGTAGCGTACATGCCACGCCACTGAGATGGCGAACACCGTTGTCAATCTCGATACGTGATGCCGCATACGCCTTTCCTAACCCAGCTGTCCCCGCTAACCGCTCTATCGCATGCCCAATCGTAGACAACTTCTACACCACAAATTATGCAGGGCATATTGAAGCTTACCAAAAATGCATTCCTATGGGTTAGGTGCGTTCCAATCCGAGCCTCACTTCACGAACGATGCCGAACAAGCCCGGTGATAAGGCATCACGCCGTACTGCCCGCAAATGACATATCAGACAGAGGAATAGACACGATGACATCAGAGTTGTGCCTGTGCACGTTCCGGTCGACCTGCGAGAGATGGAGGTGCATGCGCGTGGCGAGGATCGGAAGCATAAAGAACTGGAAACTGTAAGTGTTTGGGGGTGGTGTTAGTAGTAGCAATGCGCAGCAGAATGTGGAGGTGCATACTTTTCGGAGATGGAGTGGTACGTGCTCTGGATGTGTGGAACATCAACGACCGGATCATAAAAGGGCTTTTGGCGGGTTCACGCACATTTGGAAATAGCAACGACGTGAGGACGTTCACTGCCGAGAGGACTTTCGGAACAAGAGCGATGAGCATGGCAAAATAGCCTAAAAACATATCCCTGTCCTGACTCACGCAGACCGGATGCATAGTAGAATATGTTGTGCTTTACCAGGACGCCGTACAGAGGGCTGTTGACTGTGCGCCAGATACGTATTGCACGTATGAGCGTGAGGCAGACGAGTCCTGGGAAGAGCGTCAGTCAGCGTATGTCTGTAGTTGAATGCTCCCAGTTCCCCGTGACATACCCAGTTGAAACACAAACAAGAGAAGATACGGTATGAAGAGACTATCCGAGGTGTGGTAGCAGCCTGTGATGCCTGGGATCACGCTGGTCACAACTGTGGAAGTGGAGAGAATATATGTGAATAATGGTGGAGGAAGGTGAAAGCGCGAACCATTTGAGCTGGTAAGAGTCTTGAAAGAAGTGCCGATGGATGCTGCAAAAAAAGCCTGACTGATGCCTGTACCACGAGCTTTGGATGCAGTGAGGATATGGGACTCACGAGAGCAGTGAACAGCATTGCAACGAGCACGATTCTGTTGCCATTCCAGAGCGCAAGTGTTCGGAGTACAAAAAAGGCTGGATGAATAGGATCAGCCTGAACTCATGTATGTTGCAGGGGAAGGTGAAATACATCCGGAGCAAGGGACTGAAATCAGGCTGAAACCTGTGAGAGGAAAGGGTCTAGTGCTCAGCGAGGGCGTGCATGCACGCGTGTACTATGCATGTACCTGAGCCAATAATGTCTAACATCTGGCATGTCTAGCGAAGTAAGCGTCATCCATCTGTCAGTAAGTCCACACTAGATGTTCACATACACCTGGGTTCTCGTTCGGAATAAAGCTCCCTGAAGCACCACATGTTAATCATCGAGGCGATGCACAGTGTAGCTGAACTTACGACATAGATTCAGAGCGAGGAATATAAAGGGAACATATCGTGTAAAAATATAGAGGCCTTTTACTTTGGTCCAACGCGATCGATGCAGGAACATCCACTTTGAATGGCATCAATCTCAAACCGAGGCATATCATGAGCTAGTGCATTACCTCTTCATCAAGTGAACAAGCGTAATCATAGGTCTGGATAAGCGAGTTTAACAGCAGACGGGAATACATCGGGACAAGCCCACCCAGAATGTAGCCATCGATGCTGAGCCATATTAGGGCAAGGAAAACACAGTTCAGATAGTACGCACTGTATGTGTACTTGTGATACAGAGATCATCAATATTCAACCGCCCTCGTATAGACAAGTTGAAAGAGACGCACTGTGAAGGCCTGCAAACCCCTCGTCGCTGCGATATCGCCAGCCGAATACGCCATCTTCAGGCAAAAAAAACGGGTTTAGCGCAAGACAGATGAAACTCAAATCATGCACCTTCTTATATATGGTGAATTAGCTGATAATATGACCCATCAAGAATCAAAATGGAGGCGTACATGCACATGCTGCTTGATGGAGCGCTCCCACGTCCAACAGCTAGCGGCTGGGAGCCAAGCTGGGAGAGAGAGTATATGGGGACGTAATGGCTTGGCACAGCGCTCAGCGCTCATTGCCAGCACCGCGGTGTTGTTGTCATCGTCTTTAGAAATTGGATGTCTTTTGTTGTTAGGTAGCTATTTCCAGCTATTTCCTCCCCCCGAAGAACATCGGAGGAGCCGATCCCCCTTGGAAAGACTTGGACAACCGTCAACTTATCCTGGTCGGAGCAGGCTTCACATCTTATTTCGCTCCGCGCTAGCATCGGAGTATACGTGCTCCGTCTGCTTCATTACCATCCTGCGCCTTCTGGCCACCCCAATATTTGGTTCCCGGTATTTATCACGAATCATGCATATGACTGCCCTCCTGATCATGGAACTAGTCCTGGTCGCATCGCAGGTTTTCCTCCGAGCGTCGCACTTCTTGAGGTAATGAACACATTGTCAGGGACGCGGCCCATCACACACGATTTTGGGTATTACGCAACGTGGATGGGCTGCGTTCATCATTGCCTTGTAAGGACGTTATGTCCTTTACGCACCGACCGTGCTTGACGCACGAACCATAGGTTCGGAGTCATCCGCGTGAGTCACTGATGCGAAGAGTAACACTCTTCGCATCCGAGTCACGCGGATATATCTCTTTTCATCTCACCATTCAGTACCTTACCTCGCGCTCACATTACACCATCTCGGTTCCTTCATCGAGTATTTTCACCTCGCCACCAAGTATTTTCACTTCGCCGTCAAGTATTTTCACGCTCGATCCGGCTTAAACAAGTATTCGAAAACGTATATATACTACCAATGTACACTCATACCTACAGCGAATCATATAGTCAGATCTCCGCTCCAAGTACGACCGAAAAGCCACGCAGCAAGTCTCCGTCCTATACCTTTACCCACTCGTCTCAATTATCTTCGCACTCGTCACCTACTCACTTCGTCTCGTCACATTTCCCCTTCGAACTCACTAACAGCCTTACAGCCCTCTGCAAGTCTCGCTGATCAGTGCTGGACTCTGGTAGGTGTCGAGGAGACTTGGGCTGCATTGTTCGGAGCTTGTCTGAATCCCAACGTCATTCGACATCATGATGGACTATGTTTATGCTGGTTATCCATCTATATCGTGAGCCAGTACAATGCCATCGCGACAGTGCGCAGTCATTGACGCCGTCGAATATACACATTTGCGGTTTTGTTTTTGCGGTGTTCACGGTGTCATTCAACCGTTCGAGATGCATTGTCCTATCATATCGGGGACTTTTTTTATTTTGTATTTTTTGGCGAACTATATTTAACTTGACTCTACTTTATATAAATAGATGCTGTACAGCACATTGGCGCATCAGCTTCAGGCTGTGCCTCTGGTTCCAGCACACTCGGTTCTTATCGTTATCCACTCATCTGCTCCACTCAGTGGAAGCTCAATACCAAGACCATCCAAACGCACCTCCCGCCCACGACAGAAGATGCATCCCCATAAGTTAAGCGCGTCCCGAACCCAACCATGTCCACCCCCACCAGTCATCTTGCAGTCCAAACCTCACTCCATGAACGACGTCCAATAAGTCACAAACGTCACACTATACGGTCTGCAGTTAACATGTCGGACATAGGAATACGCATCAGGGCATCAGGGCTGATTTCATGCCAGAGATGGCGGTGCATTCGCGTGGCGAGAATTGCAAGAATGATGAACTGAAAACTGTACATGGGTGTGTTTGAGAAGTTGTTAGTAGGAATGTACACCAAAGTGTGGAGGTGCATACTCGTGCAGCATGGCGTGGTATGCATACTGGGGGGTGCAGAACATCAACGGCTCGATTATAAAGGGCCTCGGGGGGTCACATACATGGAGGAGCAGCGACGTGAAGATATTTACCACCGAGAAAACTTTAGGAACGGGAATGATCATGTATATGAGCACGGAAAAAGGGTTGGCGTGTGCATGTGCTGACTCACAAAGACCACATGCATAGTAAAGTATGTTATGCTTCAGCAGGACAATATACAGATGGCCGTTGGTCACCTGCCAGTTCTGTATGGCGTGTATGAGTGTGAGGATCATCAGTCCTGAGGAGAACGTCTATTAACGCGCGCTTGTAGATATGTATACCCCTGGCCACCTACCAAGTTCGAGTACGGTCAAGAGGAGAAACGGTATGAAGAGCTGGACGCTGTCCGAGCTCTGGTAGCAGCCTGTAATACCCGGGATACGGCTGGTCGCATCTACGAAAGTAGAAGGAATGTATGAATTGTGGTGGAACTCCAGGGGGAAGGGGAGAGGACGCACATGATGCGGAAACGGTATTGGCAAACGCAGTGCTAATAGCTGCTACGATAAAAGCCTGACTTGTGCATCTATCACGATCTTAGGTATGATGAGCGCATAGGGACTCACGAGAAAGGTGGACAACATGACTGCGAGTAGGATTCTATTGTTGTTCCAGAGCGCATATGTTCTGAGGATGAAAAAGCCTAGATGAATCGGATTAGAAACCCAAGTGTGTTGCAGGTCGAAGGAGAGATACATTCGGAGCAAATAACTGATAACGCGCCGAGACCTGTGAGAGGAAAGGGGAGCCTTCGGTAAGAACGCCGATGCATGCATGTATCACGCACGTTACCGTACCTGAGCAAATATTGTCCAATGTCCGGCATTCCTGGCGAAGTCAATGCGGTAAGCGTCATTCATCTGTTAGCAAGTCCACGTCGCATGTTCACATACACCTAGGTTCTCGTTTGGGGTGAAGCTCACTAAAGCACAACATGTTAATTCACCACTAGCGCAATGGTGAGAACTGAACGCACGATATATATCCGTGATGAGTAGGAGAAAGGGGAGATGCCGTGTAACGATGTAAAGGCCTTTTACTTTGGTCCAACGCGATTGAAGCAGAAATATCCACTTTCAAGTTGAACAGCGTGTTATGATCGATATGAAAAAACATGAAGCGCATTACCTCCTGGTCAAGGGAACACACATAATCATAGGTCTGGATAAGCAAGTTAGACAGCGGACGGGAACGCATCGGAACAATCCCACCCAGAATGTCGTCATCGACACTGAGCTGCATTAGAACAAGCTTGTGGAAGAAGCGGTTCAAATAGTACGCACCATACATATACTGGTGCCACAAGGACCATCTACCATTATCCACAGCCCTATGATATCGACAACAAAGAGACGCACAGTGAAGGCCTGCAAACTCGTCGCCGCTGCGATATCGTTAGATGAATACTCCATCGCCAGACAAAAAAAAGGGGTTCGCGCAAGACAGATAGGCTGATCATGCAACTTCTTATCTGTTAATTATGAATTAGTTGTCAGTGACGACCCATCAAGAACCAAGATGCAAATTGCAGGCACCGGTAATCTGATGATCATGATCTCGAAGCACTTCACTGCCTGATAGTGCCAAATTATTAATCGACAAAAATACTTGCTAGCTGCGGTCCAAGAACGTGACTGCTCACAAGACATAAATATTGCTCACTCTCAGCACTGCGTACTTGCTTGACATCCTCTGTGAAGATTAATACCAAGTAAGTATCCCGCCCGCCTGCAATCCTTCACAGAACGATGTGCCGGTCTCGAGACCAGCAATCCCTCAAAGGCTCCTGATTTGAGCAGGCTCCATACGGCGCGGCATCTCATTTCGTTCCACGCTAGCATCGGACTCCTCCTGTTCATTACTCTGCTCGTTTTTGATCGCAGCTCGTGCACGGGAACACCCAAATATTTGGTGCCCAGGCTGTTACTTACGTGGTAACTCTATCACGAATCGCAACATCCTAGGACCTAAACTACAGAGCCTCACTCATCTAAGTTATCAAGCATTGCTTTTCCATGTCACGTTTTCTTCCGAAAGGTTCTTGTTTGCATCAGAGAATTTCTTCGTCCCTTGTTGAGCGTCACACTTATTCAAACAGTGAATGCATTGTCGGCTGGGATGCTGTTGGACCTGGGCGTAGTTAATGCCAACGAAGCCATCAGATACATAGCCTTCTCCCTCGAGTTTCGTGCTTATGATTACAGCACACTCAAATCCTGACCGTCATCCACTCAGCGACCGCCGCTCACATCGGGAGCTAGATCACTGTATCTATGTTAAACTGACCATCTCTATCCAAACGCACCTCCCACCAACTCTCACGGCAGAACATTCCTCCTGAAGTTTGTGTATACCGACTCCGGGATCTGACCAAGCTCATCTTCGCTGCCACCTCGCAGTTGAAATTTCACTTGATAAATGACACCGAATAATGTGACAAGGCATTACGTCGTACCGACCGCAGATGTGATGTCGGTCAGAGGAATACACATGAAATCTGACATGAGGGTGTCAGGGCCGTGTGCATGCTCGTTGATCTGCCAGAGCTGGAGATGCATGCGCAAGGCAAGAATCGCCAAGATGATAAACTGGAAACTGTATTTGGCGGATGTGTTTTGAGTAGGAATGTGCAGAAGGATTTTAGGAGTGCGCACTTACTCTCGAAACATGACATGGTACTGGTACTGGGTGTGCGAAATATCAATTCCTCAGTAATACAGGGCATGAGTGGTTCACGCACATCGAGGAGCAGCAACGTAAGGACGTCCAAGGCCGAGAAAACTTTCCGAACAAGAACCATCTTCGATGAGCACAGGAAACTTCCTGACGATAGATGCATGTCCTAACTCACACAGACCGCATGCATAGTAGAATATATTATGCTTCACCAGGATGGCGTATATAGGGCCGTTGACCGACCGCCAGCTCTGTATGGCACGTATGAGCGTAAGGGAGAGGAGTCCTGGGAGAGCGTCTGTCAGCGTGCGTCTGTGTATGTCTGCTCCACACGACACACCAAGTTCAAACGCAAACAATATAATACACGGGATGAAGAGGTCGGCACTGCTCGAGCAACCTGTGATGTTCAGGATCGTGCTTGTCGGAACTGTGAAAGTGGAAAGTGAAAGTGTGAATGGCGTTGGAACGCCAACGGGGAGGAGACAGTGCATACATGGGGTGGTGGCATTAGCGGAAAAGGAAGTAATGATGGATGCTACGAGGACAGCCTGACTGGTACATCTATCACGAGCTTGGGTGGAGTGAGGGCATGGAACTCACAAGAAAGCCAGTCAACATGACTGCAAGCACATATCTATCGTTGTTCCAGAGCGCATATGTCCGGAGGACGAAAAAGGCTGGATGAATGTGATCAGGAATGCGCGTATGTCACGGAGAAAGGAGATATACATTCGGAGCAAGTGACTGATATTATGCCGAAAGCTGTGAGAGCGCAGCGCTCAGCAATGATGTGCATACACTATGTCAGGCCATACTGTGATAATGATACATCAATTAATTACAAGTTGCGGTAAATAGTGGGACTCAAAGCAAATTTTGATGCCCGGCTAAAGCTTCATGAAACTCGCTAAACTTTCGCTAAAGCCTCAAACAAACTTGCTAAACCTTTAACAAACTCGGCGAGAGACACGGCAACACAGCAGCATCACAGCGGACTTTGAAATCATACTTGTGAAATTTCGATGGATGTAGAATACATATACAAAAAAATAGCTATTCAAATGACAAGCGAGAGGGGTGGGGGGGATTAAACTAGCTATAACTCATCAAGAGCATTCTCCTGGCACCAGAAAGTGTGCCGCCAGTGCTTTTCGATGGTGGAAGCCCTGGTGTGATGTCAGTGAGTGCCGCTATGAGAGTGGATAGTACATACCAGCCATTTACCTTAGCATAACCCATCATGATGTTGTTGGTAGGGGTCCAAATGATGCACCTGGCAGTGCTGCTAGCAGGATGCAGTCAATGGTTGTCATCAACGAGGTTGCTGGAGGTTGACGACATCAGCAACGCTGATGGCAGCGGAGATTAAAACTCAGATTCAACTTCCGCCGAATCAGTTGGAGATTGGGCAGCTGATAAGAAAATACCCCTTGAATCCTCGTCACTGTGATCATGCCTCGTCCAGCCCTACGTGAAGACCTCCTCAATGCTATTGATAAAGCTACTTTATCACTAGTCAAATTGCAATACCAGAATGCACTCTTGGATGACTGGTCAGACTCTGAGTCTGATACTACTATGGACTGGGACACAGATTCAGACTATGATGAAGATATCAATATGCCTTTTAGCTCACCATCCCCCCCATCTCCGCTGTCCCCATTGTCCCCTCTTTCCAGCAATACGACTTCTCATTCTTCCTCCAGTGATGAATCTGGCACCGATGTTGCTGCACATTACGATAGGCTCCAAGACACTATCACTGCACTTCGTGATGAAGTCAAGAGGGCACGTGTGCTCCACAAGCCAGACGAGCCACCTCCACGAGCACCTCAGCTTCATATGCCGGTTCATCATGAAGAACACCACCCTCATTTGTTTCGGCAGAAACTTCACGTCAACCCAGAGATCTTTGATGATATACTTGATCAGATCTCTGATCACCCTATCTTCCAGAACCAGTCCAACAATCCTCAGCTTCCTGTCTCCATCCAGCTTGTGATTTTTCTCAATTGTGCAGGCCACTATGGGAATGCCATTACTCTCGAGGATGTTGCTCAATGGGCAGGTGTGAGTGTCAGGTCGGTGGTCAATTGCTCTCATTGTGTCATGATTGCAGTATTTGATGTGCATGATCAGTTTATCAGGTTCCCAGCAGCTGACTCTGACAATGCTCACTTGGCTCAGGCATTTGCTGAGTCTCGAACCTGTCCAGAGTGGAGTGGTGGCTTTCTAGCCGTTGATGGTTCAACTATGGACCTTTATGCCAAACCTGGCTTTTATGGTGAGGTGTTTTATGACAGGAAATCCAAGTATTCCCTTGGTTGTCAGGTAATGTGTTTTTCTCTATTATCATCAATAAAAAAATTGATTTAATTCTAGGCTGTCATTCTGCCCCACAACCTCCTGATTGTTGACTATTCTCTTGGTCAACCTGTGAGTGTCCATGATGCCTTTGCTTTTCGATCCACCCGCCTCTATGCAGAGCACGCCGATCTTCTACCAGATGGTCACTGGGTTTGGGCAGACAGTGCATATCCATTGGAGCCATGGTGTATAGCCCCTTTCAAGAAGCCCCGCAATGGACGGTTGATGAAGAACCAGAAAACATTCAACTATCACCTTTCTAAAGTATGATTTTTACTTGGGTGGTTTTTCAGTGAATTCAAATTTATTTAGGTCCGTGTGTGTGTTGAACACACATTTTCTGTTTTGAAGAGACGGTTCCAGTCTCTCCGAGAGCTTCACTTCAATATTCAGTTGGAGAAAGACCTGGAGTTTGCTGTGCAGTGGATTAAGTGTTGTATTATCCTGCACAACATGATCATCTGCTTTGAAACCCATCATCTCCAGCAGGATGGATTATACGAGAGTTCTCTGAAGTGGGCTCATGTAGAGGGTGAAGACTTCATACCTCAAGAGCATGAAGATGCAGATGGTGATGAAACAGTTGGTGATAGGTCATACAAGGGAACTCCAGGCCAGGCTACTCATGCAAAGCTGATGGATCAACTCTTTGACAGTCCTCATTCAAGGGCACAGCGCAGGCAAGGATGAAGGCCAAGAAAGCTCACATTGATCAAGAATATGTGTACTACCAGTAAAGTACTTGTACAACATATGTAACATATGTACCATCAAACAAATGCAGAACAGCAGTGGAATAAAATGAGATATGACAATGATGGTAAAACAAACAACAGCAGCGAAAAAAAAGCATCAGTGATGACAGTGGGACATGATGACAACGACAATGACAATGACAATGATGACAATGATGACAATGATGATGATGATGACAATGATGACGGCGGTGACGACGACAACGAACAACAGCAACAACTCAGTCCCCATCTGAGGCGGGAGGTTTGCTACCCTGCATCAGATGGTGGAACTGGATCTTGAGGCGTAAGTTTTCTGCTTCCTTGTCGAGGACTAAGGAATGTGCCTCATGCACTCGAATATCCGTCTCATGAAGATGGATTTCGGCATCCTTACTCTCCTGCTCGCATTGATGATTGACGGTGGCTTGTGAGGACTCATGTGCACATGTGTCACGAAGCCACTCGTATTTCCTTGCATCACGATGATGGTCGGACTTTGCGTCAAGTTTGCAAGGAAGCGTTGGTGCTTGGAGTCGTGGTGTGACACAGCATCAGACTGGATACTCTTGATCTCGTCAGTTACCTTGTCAACCCGTTCCTGAATATCCAACTTGGCTTTCTTCTTCTTTGAGCCTCCCACACTGGTCGGCAATGATGTCTGAGGAGTGGGACTGATTAAACAGTTGGATGATGAGGACGTGTTGTGAGTTGTTGAAGAAGGGGTTGACATGCTGCGGGATATACCTGATGACACGATAGATGGTGTTTTTCTGTGCCACCCCCCATGACTGGAGGGTCACTGTGCTCCAAATGCTGCACGGCTGTCATAGAAGGACGTCAGTGATTTCTCCGGCACCTCAGCAAGAGGGTTAGGAGGGTCGGGAGGAGGAGAAGGTGATGCTCGTTGACGCTTGTTCCCGGCAGCTCTAGCAGGACTGTCAAGGGTCATGGAGTCATCCTCCAAGTGGCGCAGCACATCCCCAAGGGGGGTGGACAAAGGACCACTGAGATATAGGTTGTCAGTGTCGTCATCAGGATCGTGCATGTAATGGTCCATGTCTGCGTCATTATTGATGTTGTTATCAGGGGGGGGAGGAGCGGCATGCAGAAGATGCAGATCAATCAGAGGATCGTTCAAGTTGTGGGTATCGCCACCGCCAGGAACAGCATTGGGAGGGAGTATAAGGTTGGGGGGCTGAGTGAAGTTGGGGCGTTCAGGTTGGAGGGTGAATGCGCTATGGGATGGCTGATGGGGGGGCTGCAGTTGGGGGGAGAATGTGCTGTGGGATGGCTGAGCATATGGAGGGAGCTGCGGCGGAGCACCAGCCTGAGTGGCACCATCAAAATTTGTTGAGGGACCAGCTCTGCCAGGGCTGCCATGCGGTTGCACAAGCGCATACAAATCACCTGCGTGATCAACCCCTGGCCTGGACGAATGTGATTTAGTTGCAAACGACGGGATTGAGTGCCAGATGCTATCGAGATCAGTATACCATGGCAGTTTGGCGGTGACTTCATCTACAAAGTTAAATCAGCCGAGAAGCATGAAATCAGTACGAACGACTCATCCAGTAAGTTTTTTGAGGTAGTCTCATCAAGCGGCACCACACCAGCACCAGTCGCATTGAACCTACCCTTGCATTTTCTATATTTATTTCTGAGACTTTTCAAATTTTATCAGTGCACATAAGAACAAAAGAAGGAGACTTACGATGTGATGTGGTTTGTGACTGACATGCAGAACTTCTTCGGATCTTGATGGTATGTGGCCTTGTATTTGGTGTGGGTCGCAAAGATGAGCTTGGCAATAAAACCATGTATTTCGTTCTTGTCCTTGCCTGAGGGGGCATCATCAACAGAAGGCATTGCTTTCTTCCCATCGGAATAGAACAGGATGTGACAATCAGGCGGGTGAGTAGTCAGATGATTGATGAGGATTGTAATGAGAGCATGATCTCTTTCCCACTGGATTGTGAGTTTGGGTACGCCTTGAGAGTTTGAGTCAGATTGTCCTTGCGAGGAGGAGGCCGGAGGATTCATTGCCCTTGAGTACAATCCTTGAGCGTTGGCATTGGCTCTAAGCCATGCTGAATGGCGAGCACGTTGGCGAAGTGCAGGCATGGAGTTTGAAACTCCGAAAGCCTGACTTCCAATTGCGGTGCCATGCAGGCTGTGTTCCTTCAACTTTCCTGACACTTTAACTGGGAGTAGAATGATTTAGCCGGGCGTCAAAATTTGCTTTGAGTCCCACTATAGTTTGGTGCTGGCTTGCTATTATCCAATTACTTGAAAATGCATAAACATTCAGACACTTTTTTGAGCCACTGTAATATAATGTTAGAAGTCAGTCAGAATCACTACTAAATTAGGTTAGAAGTAAATACAACCAAATATCTGAATACGCAGCTACATTTCGAGTCATGCCAACTTTACTTTGTCTCTTGAAATCCAACTACACCAACCACAATTTCTTTAAGTCCAATGGAAACCCATTAATTGTCACTACAGTTAATGTTCAACATCACTGCAGCTCATCAATGTATTAACACACCTCTAGACTGGACCATCCACCAATGAACAGCAGCAGCAGCACAGTCTATTATCAAGGTACTACTGTTATTATTTATAAAATTTATCCTGCCTCTGACCTCCCAATCCATCCCTCATTTCCATTGCCACCAGCCTGTAAACAATATTAGCAACAGCAACAGCAACAACAGCAGGTAGCACAGGTATGTTTATTTTTCTTTTTAATTATTCAGCCTCTGACACTCCCAATCTACACCCTCTCATTTCCATCACAGTTACTGCCAGTCCACATTGGTATGCACCCACCATTATGGTCCCAAGGTCACAGCGCCCATTAATGGGCAATATTTTTGCTGCCCTCGGTAATTTGTCTGGCACTACACCATGGGGATTAGCTAAACCTGTAGGGGGATCTTGCAGTTGTCAGGTTAATAAACTTGCTGTAGAGTCAATTCTGAAGCTGAATGAGCATGAGACTCCTATATGGATATGGATGGGATATTGCAGGTAGAAGCCAAGTGGAATTAATAATGACTACAATTGACAGTGCAAGGACATACTGTAATTGTGACATGACAAGTGACTAGGACAATAAACAACACCTTCTCAATCAGTGATGACCCCCATCATACAATCATGGTTGGTTGATTTCCTGTTGTTAATCAGCATACAATATAATACAAATGCCCAGAAGAACTGTTTGATGCAGATGTCAAGGTATAAATGAAAATCTGTCATAGATCTCCATTGTGAGAAAGAAATCCTGAGTAGGTACTAGAGAGCTAGTATGATATTCCTATGAGAGCAAGTATTTCTAGTCGTTCCAAGGGGGTTGCTACTGAGAGATAATCTTCCACATGTTTGTGTGAAGGAGGATATGAGTGAATAGACTTCCAAATGATGTGGATACTTGCAGTGGAGTTGTGTGCAAGGCGAGGATTGCGGATGGGTTGTGGGTGAAGATGTGGGTGAAGATGTGGGCATGTTCTGTGGTGCAATAAGACAGGGGTGCGGTGCAGATCTGATGTGGAGTGTGTGTAGCATGGTATGAGGTAACAGGTAGTGGGTATGACAAGGTAATGGGTTTCAGCAAGGTATGTGGGTCTATGCAAGGTTCATCAGGATTTGTTCTGGGACTCGGAACAAGGTAAAGGCTATATGAACTATCACTAGTTTAAATGCACCAAGGTTTGTGGTCACTCACGCAAGATAGGCAGAACAGGAATCAATTGTGCAAGATAAAGAATGATGTAGCTAATGATAGTGACTCTGGACACCGACTTGGACAGAAGGGATGTAGAGAAGTAAGGAATAGTAAGTCTGTGATAGGTCTATATTATATCATAGTCTGTAGCATATCAGAATGTCATAGGCGGTACTGGAACACACAAGTAAGAGTGTTGTGGGATAGTATGTAAGGAGCTTTTACTGGCCTCATATATGGGAATGCATATGTAAAGGACCTGCAGGTGGTCAAGATAAACAAAAGCAAGCTAATAACACACCAATGGGGATAGACAGACAATGGATGGACATGGTAGGACAAACCAGGCTCTTGTAATGGGATGTGTACATGTGTCATATCCCATACCTCCGGATCTGGAATTCTGGATCTACTCCATTAAAGTCCGGTTCTCTGTCCTGTTGATCTGCCTGGCACTCTGCCTTCATCTCCACACTCACCCCTAACTCCTTTTAGAATAGCTATTGCTCCGGTTACTGGTTATGTCCTTTTCCACTATGCTTACTGATCTGTCCATTCTTACTTCATTTCCAACTTCACTGCTTTGATCTGTTACACTTACTAATAGACTTTCCACATGCTTTGTACATAGCCCTTACCTTTGCTGACTGATTTACTTACATGATACCTACAGTATATAAACTCCTGTAATACTCTGGAACTCCTCAGTTCGAATATCATCTTAGTTCTGCTCATTCCTGCAATCTCCGGACTTGAGTCTCACCTCTTGTCCACCTCCGAGTCTTAGGGGTTAAACCTTAGGACTACTTCTCTGGCTCTACCTTAGGGTAGTCTAACCTCTGTTCTGTTTCTACTCTGGACTTCCGTAGTAGCCTTACTCCATCCCCACATAGTCTTCCGGAGTTCCGCTGAACTCCACCGATGTTTGTCCTCCAGAACTCCCCAGACTTCCGTCGGACTTCCCCTCTGTCCCCTGGAAATTAAAGGGCACGTACTTGGGTAAGGGGCGCAGTGCACAAGCTGAAGCCGAAGCCCTTTGAGTAACCTCTCCCTTGAGCACGACCTTAACAGAAGCACACAGGTGCAAGTGCAACTGTCTACAAGGTATCCAGAGTACCTCAGAGTGTGAACAGGAGTCATCAGACAAGTATGGGAATAATTGGGGATACAGGCCTACAGTGAGGATGATCCTCACACCATTCTTCAGGATGCAGCTGGGAGTACAACATCTCTAGCATCCTGACATCCATCAAATCATCAACTGAAGCCATGTCCCTTACTCATGTGATGATACTGTGATTCAAAGCAATTCTCCTATACTCCTCACTCTGCTGCTGCCAGGAGAAGTGCACCAAAAATTGTCTGAGGCAAATGATCAACTTCAACATTCACAAGTGAGATTCAGAATCAGCCAACTCATACTCTCCAAAAGACCCACTGAGTGAATCATCTGATGAAGACTCAGGCTCTGTAGCCTAAAATCATGATGATTCCATGGACAGTCTGCTGGGGAAGCCTTGCAAGTTGCTGGCAAAAACTGAATTACACCTGTTACCAAGTATGTATAATGAGATTAGTCTTTTTTTTGTTGGAGGCACTAATTCCAAATCAGATTAGAAAATATACCTTGCTCTCGTTGTTCCTCATGATAACATCATATCCTAGCCATGGGCAATTGCAAAATCAGCACTGATCTTAAAGAATGTGCACCAAATCTCTGGAACACAGACTGGGACATCAAGGATATTCACAATGCTCTGGGAGTCTCTCGCACTAGCATTTACCACTGGGAAGCTATTTTTGCAGAGTATGGCACTGTCAACCATCCCCTTTCACCCATGCATGGCCAGCAGCTTCGTATCCTCACTCATGCTCTCATGACAGCCTGTGAGGCACATACTTCAGTAATTTATATATGTAGAACCATGGCTCTGGACATGCAAAAACCTCATAGAATCATGGCCAGCCTGTCCTCAGCTGGTCCATGTAGAACACATGCTGGCCGAATCTGTATTGTCCACTATATGTAATAGATAGGTTAGCACATTGTAAAAGCCAAGGCCATGTAGAACACATGCAGGCCGAACCTATATAGTCCACTATATATAATAGATACCTCAGTATTGGCCTTTGGGGATGTACCCCTGTAGGGTACAGCTGGCCAGATGTAAAGGTATCAACTTGGCCGTTGTGGATGTACCCCTGTAGAGAAGCCTATATCTAAGTCCACTATATAATAAGATATACTAGTTAATGTCATGACTATGTAGAACACATGCAGGCTGAACCCATATAGTCCACTATATAATAGATACCTCAGTATTGGCCATTGGGGATGTACCCCTGTAGGGTACAGCCAGCCGGATGTAAAGGCATCAACTCAATGTCAGCCGTTGTGGTTGTACCCCTGTAGGTCACAGCTGGCCGGATGTAAAATTGAGAACAGTGTATTGGCCGTTGTGGTTGTACCCCTGTTGGGTACATCCGGCCGGGGGTAAAGGTATCAACTCAGTATTGGCCATTCTGGGCATACCCTTGTAGTGTACAGCCGGCCAGATGAAAATCAAGAACTCAGTATTGGCCATTGTAGTTGTACAAATGTAGATCTAAGCTCATAAACTTAACAGTGGTCAACTCAATTGTTTTCTTTCGCTCATCACACAATGTCTACTGGAGGGCACACCACAACAGGTCATTTCGACTTGACAACAGCATTAATGGAGTTTACTTTGGTTAATTTTAAGCTTAAGGTAAATTTGGAGGCTTGCATGGAGAGGTGTTCTTTGGCCAATACTGTGGGGATAAATGTGTACTGGCTGGCCATACCCTATAGTAGGTATACCCCCACCGGCCACAACCATGGTAATAAATGTATGTTGGCTGGCCATAGCCTATGGTAGGTATACTCCCACCAGCCACAGGCAGTTGTGATAATTCTGTATTGGCCAGCCAAGGTCCTACATGATGATAATCTCTGCAGGCTGGTGATATTTTTCTTATATTACAGTAAAGTCACAAGTGGTATTTTGACTAACTAAGAAGAACTAAGCATACTACACATTATCTAGAAATTTCGCATTTTTCTTGGTAGGTTGCCTTTCCCTTGTAGAATGTCAAATTTCAGCCTTGACTGGCTTCTTGAACTTGATTGAAGAAACCTTAGGCTCAGTCTTAGCCCTTTTGGAGTTTCGAGAGGGGATTTGGGTTCCAGATCTCTTCCTCCTAGTCTGCTTCACTTCAACCACCACTGCCTCCTCCTCCTCCTCCTCCTCCTCCTCCTCCTTCTCATCCTCCTCCTCTGCCTCCTCCTCCTTGTCCTCCTCCTCCTCCTTGTCCTCCTCCGCCTCCTCTACCTCCTCCTCCCTTGTCCTCCTCCACCTTGACTTCAGCTTCCTTCTCCTCCTCCTCCTGCTCCATCTCTATGTCCTGAACCTCCAACTTGTCCCTCATATCCAACTCAATGATGGCAACTACAGAGGCCAAGACATCAGGTACTGCCTCCCTCAGGAGAGGTACGACTGAGACATCCAAGATGGAGTTAGCAAGGTAGGCAGGGGTATCTGAAGAAGCCTCATCTTCCTCATACTCAATCACACGACCACACTCCCTGAAGAGCATACCCAATCCTAACACCACAGAGACAGCCGATGTTGCATTCGAGATATTGGCCTTCCCAAGTTTGGTTAGGGTGGCTTTCAGCATCATCCGAGATTCATGAATGTCCTTTGGAAGATAACGATGCTTCCAAGACCATTTAGCCCAAGAGGGCAAGTCACCATGGTCCTTTAATTGAATCTTTAGAATGGTGAGTATCCAATCAAAAATTCAAGTTACTCACCATCTGTTTAGAGGATTTTGATGAATCCTTAGTGGCATGCGCCAAATCATAAGTGGTGTCCACCAATTCAAGGTAGTTGTCATCCATGCTGAAGCCTCATAAAAACACCCAACGTTCATCATAGACCTTATTGAAGAGGATAGAGGCAGGGGTGTCACCGGCACCGGCCGACACATTCCTACCCTTTGCAGAATGTGAGCTAGCCAAGCCCAACTCTTCTTCGTCCGAAATTTCTACGTAGTCCATCTTTTTCTCTTCTTTCCCTCTTCTTTCTCAGCTCTGTCCATCCTCTTATCACCCTTCTTTGCATTTATGAAAATGACCAGCTTCTTGCTTGCAATACTACATCTCTCCCAATGGTGCCAGAGAGAATTTACATCCTCTGACCTCATGTGCAAAGGGTCTCTCACCACCAATGTCTCAGGAACACAGGTAGGGTCCAGATAGTGAGCACAGTTATTGACAATCTGCCGCCAAGGCACAGGTTTATTACTCTGCGTGAAGGCCTCTATAGACCAACAAATCAATCAAGTGTAAGCTAATTAAAGCTTCAAACTTACTATACGAAGCAAGGAAAATGTTTCTAATCAAATACTGTTGTCCCCTGAGAGCCACACCCTCACGAGAAGGGAGCTTTGCATATCCTTCTTCGTCCAATATAAGTTCTGGTTCAGCTGCACTGGTGTCTGAATCATCTATCTCTAATTCTTCGAGATCTTGAGCTGTAGGATCTGTTTTATTAATGAAAAAACATGAGTCTATACCAAATACGACAAGTAGAATATAAAATGTACAGAATTCAGCCTTGGACCATTCTGCAAAGAAATCAAAACCTGTTGAAGACCACTCCTTGATACTGTCAGAGTTGACAGAAAAACTTTTCTTGCTACTCTGCGGTTTGGATTCATGCCTAAATGTTACTATTAGTCTGGCAAATGATATAGGTAATACCAAAACTGACAAGGTAACAGCCAAGGACTTATGGGCCTTCTTCTTGTGACTGACTAGCATTACAACTCGGCAACCCATGGTACAGCGTAGTTCCTCCGAAAAATCTTCAAGCTTTGTCTTGAGATTATTCTTCCGATAGCTTTGAATTAAATCAGCTTAAATTGAACATCCTATATGACCGACCACTTACACAGCCTGAATATCCTCAGGCGCACCCTCTTTGTTCCATTTCTCCATTGCATCTTTAACCTCTTTCTCTTGCTCAGCCATCATCTTCCTAAACCACTCTCTGGCATGTCCCATCCTATGCTTGATGGACTCACCCAATCCTTTCCTCGCCCTCTCGGCCTTGTCATAGTCATTGATCTCTTCCTTGAACAACTTCTGGGCGACATCCCACTCATTGCATTCTTTCTTGTAGAATAGTGCAGTTTTCGGACGTGCAGCTGCTTCTCTTTCCTCCGACGTCACAACATGGTCATCCTCCACATCTGGCTCAGCTTCTTTATCTGACTTCTCAGAGTCTGAGTCTCAGTTGATAATCTCGTAGTAATACATTCAAATAGCCTGTACATAAAAATAAATATTGAAGAACTTAATTATCCAGAACTTATTAAGTACCTTTTTCAAAGAACTAGGCAAGGTCACTCCAGGATGATCCCCATGAGCTTTACGGATAGCATTTTTGACTTTTTACCACACGAGAACAATGTGTTGGAGAATCTTTGTTGGACCGGAATTCCTGCTCATGCTGATCAAGAATAGATTTGAACTTCAGAATCCATTGGGAAGACATAATCTGGAGTGTATACAAATGTCAAGGATTGAGATTTAGTAGGTAGACAGACAGGTAGTGTATGATGTGGACGGCCGCAAACCAACATGGTCATGTGATTGTGTTTGACCTGTAATATTTGCTATATACGGACAAGCCTTCTATCAAAGCGCTACAGGCAAGCAAGAGCGGAAATCATGATTCTAAGTAGATTTTCTACTAACTACAAAACTGCTAAGATCAATGGTAAAAAGTAAGTGGCAGTCACAAGCAGATCTCAATCCAACTGGAAATACGAGTTTTGCCTGGTACAAGCACCCTTGAGTTTGCTGGAGGGCTAAACACAAAACCCCTCCTGCAATTTTCACCCTTGCACTCAAATGAATATTCCTTCTGGTGATTAGCAGAGGTCCAAGCGTCTACCAGACCACAGTCAGGGCACTGCAGTGGCAGGAAGTTGCCCCAGGGGTGGAGGTGAGAATGAGTCCAGCAGTATCTGAAAACGTCAACAGAGTTGATGTCATGCTTCAACAACAAAAAAATGTCTGAATGACGGCCGAGTTTGTAGGATTGGCCAAGCATGTCAGGGAATGCTTGTTGAATGGAGAGATGCTGGATGAGGATGAGCTTGCAGAAAGCAAGCAGGAGATGCGTGGAGAAACTCGGTTGAAAACCGATAGCATTGAATGCTATGGCGGCCGAAATGCCATGACTATTTTAATTAAAAAAAGTAGTGTTAGTCCTGAGCAAGAAATGAGCTGAAGTACTTACTGTGCAACCGAAACACGCAAATTTGCGAAGGATTCCAGATTGTTGACCAGCGCCCCACAAGAAAAGAGCCAAAGGAATGACTCCGGCACCTTATCAATGAGAACCTGCCATGGTCCAAGAATGATGGCCAAAAACTATAACCAAATGAGAAATGCAAAGATGAAAACAAAAACACGTACATCATGAACCAGAGTCGCAACATAAGTCTTTCTTTCATACCCTACAAATGGGTCTCCAGACGAGTTGTCAGTATGGTTAGATATACCGAAGACCACGCGGCTCCATGCAGTACTAGATAGTTTGCCCACCAGGGCCACCATGCTATCTTGGTATGTCCTGACCTTGGAGGCGGTGCCGATATTGAAAGTTACCTTGTGGTACTGCATGCCAGCATGAGGAAAGTAGGGCAACAAAAATTGATGCGTGAGTTCGAATGAGCTACCTGTTGGTATCAGTAGTCGACCAGGGTGAGATGAATGAAGAGGAGGGTGTCGGAAGAGAGCTGTGATGTGATGTTCATCTTGAGGGCAGCGCAGGATGGGGAGGAACAAGTCCAGTACCAGCTTGGTGTTCCTATAGAATCCCTTTGTATGATAGTCAGTATATACATAAATAAAAAAAGACTTCAGAACTCACAAAATAAGGCACCAATGCATTGCCAGCCTTGGCGCTGTCCTGTAACATGACAGCAGATACAATGAAAGGTGACATGGGGCACACAGACCACCTGTGCGAACACCAGGGGAATCATGACACAGTGAGTGCAGACGACGCATGGACATTTGTCACACAAGAGCAGGAACTTGTCATCTACAGAACTGTCCCTGCAAATAATGCAGAACTGATAGGATAAGTTAAATGTTCCATAAAGATATAAATAACACTCACATCATTGTGCTGAAAGCCTTCACAAACTTCTACGGCATCCTGATGCCCAACAGCCAAACTATTTCCATCTCCACCTATCAACAACTTCACCTGCCCTGCTGATCCGCCAGTGGCCTTGCACGCTGTTTGTTTCGTTTGGACCATGGACATGTCAAAAGTGAATAAGAGGTGTGGGGAAAAGGACAATGGAAATAGGAAAGCTGGATTTGAAAGAATAGACAGGAAGGGTGTGTTTGTGTGGACTTAGAGATTGTGGACACGTTCTGAACAATGGCCAAACAATAACAAATATGAATGTGTGGCACACTGAGTCTCAATTTGTTGTGGAACAAACAGTTGCAAAGTGACACGTTTATCACAGCCAAGTTCAACTTCCCACGGTTCAACTTTCTGTCCACAACGTCTATCACAATCCTCTCCTTGTTCTCTCCTTGTTCTATCATTGTTCTATCTATTGACTGCGACTTGAAGGTTATCTTTGGATCCTTGCAGGGGCTGCAGCCCTGCAAGGACCCAAAGGTTCTCTCTCAAAGTCATCTCTGAATACAGTAAGTGGCTTTCCTTCACTCTTTTACTTACTGACTTTGCCTTTTCAGAACTTTGGATACATGTAGTGCAAGTAAGTAAATCCTTTGACCATCCCCATATGCTAACCTTGTTGTTTTAGACTCTCATTTGTCCTTACCAGCGTCTCTTTGCTATACTGATGGCTTTTTTTCTTTAGGCTTACTTCTTATTCTGACTGTCTGCCTCTTCTGATGCCATCTGATGGTGAGTGACTGATCTCTCTTTCCTATTACTGATGGTCTTTGTCTTTAGATTTTTCTCTTATTCTTATGGTGTCTCTCTGACGCCGTCTATGATGGTGAGTGGTTGATCTTTGTCTCATAATAACTGATGTTTTTTTTTCTAGACATAACTCTATGGGTCTGGGGGCTCAACTTTATGTGGTGCATTTGATTGTGCTTTTGGTGCCCCAGTTTGAGTGAGTCCCTTCTCCTTCCAACAATTTTCTGACTGATTCACTCCCTGCAGATGATCCAGTGATTCCACCGCATTTTTAAGCTAAGTGTTTCACCTCATCTCATTCACCATCTAACATTTCAAATGCAGAACATCTTTGTAGTTACCTTACATTATTTTTTATTACCTACTTCTCTATTGGAACCAAGACTTGGGTGAGGAGGGCCCCCTCATTCAAGTTTTGCATCTCCCCTTTGATTTCTTGTAAATTTTGTAGTCAACTCAAACTGTCTTAAACTAGAATTTTCCTTGTTTGGCACAAATGGATGTTTCCTTTAGTTAAATTTTTGCTGGCTGAAAAAGTCATGTGATTGTGTGAATTGAACTTTGGTGAGCTAGTGCTGCGCTGTGTACAGTGAATACACTGGCATGAATATCCTTATGTCGCTAAGCCCAGTACTATTACAGCTCTTTGCATAAAGGATGGCACTGGCGTGAAATTTTCGTTCAATTAGGAAATGTTAGACTTAGTGAAATTTTGCTCATTGTACACTCGTGTCCCCTGTAATTCATTATCATCATGCCATTTATGACTATTCCTGCCTCCAAAAAACAAAAGAGCCTGCTAGAGCATGACAGTGACCTTGATTCCAATGGGTCCAATGAGGATGATATTCGAATGAAAGAACTTTCAGAGGAAGAGGAACCTGACTCTGATGACAACAGCGAAGATGACGAGCTTGAGCAGTCCCAGCCCATAAAGATCCTTACACCACCTCTGACCATGTCCAAAAAGCGAAAGCATGGAACTAAAACCTGTGACTGATGATCCCTACTACATGGATGTCTACCAGGTGTCCGCTCATCTTTTGATGTCTCGTCAATAAATCCCAACTCTGATGGATCATACTGAGCCATGCATGTGATGAACGCAGCACGGAGAGTCTCATTGTGTTCATTGGCAATGCACTTGAGTTTCTTGTAGCTCACATCAGCACGTTTGAGCTTGTGGAAGATTGTCGTGAAATGGACAGATATGAATTGGTTTGTCATGAGGAGGTGCATGAGCTCATCCAAAAAATAGTCAGGATTCTGCCTTACAAGGCGAAGCAGGCAATCAATATCTTCATGATCAAGAGCACACAGACGACCACACATTGCTGTGTTAGGCTGATGGTCCATGACATCACTGGTTTCATGCCAGAGCTTCAAAATCTGAAACCAAGTGCATCTGGAAAATCCGCAGCAATCTAGGATATCACGAAGGCTTAGAAGGTTCTGTTCATAGAGTCGGATTGCCGCAAGTTTCACATCACAACTGATCTTGCAAAATCCCATGTTGCCAAGATGATAATATAAGGGTAGTATGAGCGTACATGAGCAAAATCTAACATTTCTCTTGTTTGAGCCGCCATATGCATCTATGACGGAAATTTGAACTATATCAAATAGGATGGGGAGCAAATTAAATTATGTAAGCTGTATCTTAGATCTCCTCCAAATAAGTAAAATCCTGTGTCACATGACAGTTCGGATCAAGTGAAAATTTAAAGGTTTGAGCCGAGAAACTGCTTGATCCAATCATCTACCATCCTGTTGCCATGTCAAACACAATGAACATTGAGTCATTGAAATTGCATCAGTTACTCACTTCTAAAATAGATGAAATCATGAAATTGGATCCCTCTGCACCACCAGTTATCAAGGATGGTGTTCTTCAGTCTCATCTCTTGCAGAAGACTAGATGGGTACTTATTCCATTATTTTGACACTCTTACTTATTAGTCTAGGTTGAGGCTCCACTTACGGCTAAAATCCTGCAGGTCAAGTGAGCCAAGGACCGATTATGACCGACCAACATCCTCAATTTCAGACTATGAAATTGAGCGCACTGCCCTCACTATTGCCCATGCGATCTCGAACCCTTGTATGTAATCACTTGAGAGAAAAAAAAAACTTAAGTGTGTGAAAATAGACACTGTTCTGTGGGATGTAGATCGGTATGCTGATATGGTCAAATGTTCCCCTGTTCAGACAAAAGGATCAGAGCAACATGCGAAGCTTCAAAAATATTTTGGCATAACCAAGATAGGAAAAATTGATGAGCCGGCTACAATTGTGGACTGCCACAGAAAGATTTTGGTCTGGTTCCTCCCTGACATTTTGTCTCCTTGCCGTATTGTAAGATTCTAGCCCCAAGATATAGATCATTGGAGCTAATTAATGTAACAGAATTTTATTAATAATACTACCTTGGGACTTCGAGACCTTCTCCTTGGAACAATTCCCAATGGATCAGATGCTAACCAAAAACCATCCTGGCGTTCCCATGGCTTCCTTGTACCAGAGGGAGGGGGGATATTTGGGGCAGGATGAGTCACTGTGTCCCCTGCTTATTTCATGCAACAACATGAGGTAAAACATAATTTACATTTGAGGATTTATTGAGAATCTGATTGTGATTAAATGAATCAGAGGCTTGTGGATCCATTGGTGACATCGGCATCATACTCCTCTGACTCAGTCCAAAATTGGCTAGCGGACATGTCAAACTTGGAATATTTCTGGAATGCCATAACCGCAACCATAGCACCCAAGCTATTTCAGGCAGGCTATGACTCAATCTCAAAGGTGTTAAGTAAAACTCAGCAGTCTAAAAAGTCAGTTTCAGTTTCTCAGTGGCCCTCCATTTTTTCAGAATTGGAAGTCATTTCAAACCGGATGACTTTGAGTCATCGGGACCCTGGTGGGGCTCCATCCCACTATGACATGCTGGTTAGTTTGGGTATTGAGCATGATGCCATATTATCTATTGAAGACCTGGAAGCCGAATTGGTTTATTCCCCTGGGACAATGACCTATATTGCTGGCAGGGTGAGAGTTTATTATTTCTTCACTTACAACAGTAGCTTATCTTGATATGAAGGTTCTGCAGCACTCAGTCCATCACTGGAATACAGGGGAACATTATGACATTGCTCATTTCATGAAGGATAAGGTACAAGATAGGGTAGGGGTTCCCAGGCCTGCATTTCCACTTCAGACAGAATTTTTGCTTTATTGGGAACTGATAAGGGGGTCAAGCAGCCAAAGAAAAGATTGAGGCACAAAGTTGTGGGAGAGGATAATCTGGAAGGAATGGGTCAGGGGGTAAATAAAAGATTAAGGTCAAATTAGTCACTATTTTAGCGGTCCCTTGGCTGGTTAGGCTAGTTTTGTCTACCTAGTGAACTTTGAGGATTTTTCCCAATTTTTCTATCATTCATGTCATCTAAGAGAAAAACTTGTCTCAAGTCTAGGTCTTTCTCCTACAAAGAAAGAGGCCAACTATCCCAAAGAAAGGACCCGGATGTTGTTTATGTGACTCACAAAAAAAAGAAGGAAAAAAGAGGAAGCCTATCTGGGTTGAGGCCTGTGCTGATAGTTCCTATGACATTTCACAACAGGAGACATCAGCATCCTGTAGTCCACAGAAAAGAACAAAATTCAATCTTCAAGAACTGGGAGGAGTTCCAGAAGACTTGGACAGAGAGCTTGAGGGAGATTTTAGTTTGAAATTTGTCAGACGACAAACAAAAGTACGTCCATCCAACAAGAGAGAAATGACACTGCTCACTAGGTTGAAACAAAGACTCAGAATAACTTCATTGAAGATTATCTTATCTTCTGTCAACTATACTTGGACATCATCCTGGAGTCCAAAAGTATCATCAATGGAGGAACCTGTGAGTCTTGCCAAAGCACAGAAGGATTCTTCTGTTGCTTGACTTGCAGTGGTGAGCATGGATGGTGCTGAACATGTGTCCTCAAAGCCCACCAATCATTACCATTTCATAAGCTACAACAATAGAATGGAAAGTTCTTCAAGGACTTATCGCTCTCAGAGCTTGGGTATATCTGGTATATGGGTCATGGAGGTCAGCCATGTCCGTGGTCTCAAGAAGCCATGCATGATTGGGAAGATGTCCATGAGTGTGTAGACTGGACCGAAAATAATCCTGGAGTTAATACATTCACTGAACCAACTTCGACAACCACTCCCTTGATTATTATACATTCCACAGGAGTATTTATCCACAACGTACAGTGGTGTCATTGCCCTGGATCCTCAGTCCATCAACAGCATCTACATTTGCTCAAAGCATGATTGTTTCCTGCCAGTACATCTCAGTCCTCGAACCGCCTTCACCTTTGATATCCTGGACCATTTTCTCATTGATGCCCTTGAATGCAAGACAGTCTGCTATGAGCTTCTTTCAAAAGCTTCGTAGGCTTACAAACAATGCTTTCCCAGACTCTGTCCCAGTCAGTTATTGTGTCTACAATGGTGTCTATTTTAATTTACTGAACCATTCAATTGGCAGGATCGTTACTGTGAATTGATGAGGGCGTCTCAACAATGGAGGGATTTAATGAATCGGAAACAATTTGGTTTCGGGCATGATACTGAGGTAAACCCAGGGACTGGTGATCTGGCTCTGTTTTGTGCAGCCTGTCCACAGCCTGGAATCAATATGCCAGTTGACTGGCAGGACCATTATGAAAGGTAAGCAATATAATTATGTTTTGGGCATCATAGGTCGTCTTGGATTTGTATCATAAGGCTGGTGTCTGGTGAATACTGGCCGGATGCCTTCTACATGCACACTATATGGTCTGGCCGATATTGGCTGCCTATAATGTACCCCCAAGGCCAGCCAACCAGTCGTTCATATCTCAATATTTATGCAGTACAGTTGACATTTTTCTAAACAGCTGGCTAGTTATGCAGAGATATGTAGTGGATGGCAACTTCACCGCTCAACACATCAATATGAAACAACCACACCTTGATGTCACTCTATCGGATGGCCTAGGGTATATGGTAACAGACGCTGATTACCAGGCTCATTTATCTTCAGCCAAGGAGACCAAGGAGGTACATTCAAGTAGGGGTTTTAATTTGTCTGCACCTTTTGACCAGATATATACCAGCGGTCCTCTTGCAGCAATCACCGTGCTGTTAATGCAGCAAACACAAATTGGAGTAATCTTCGTGCAACCGGAGTGGCTGTGATTGCTTGTGCACATCATGGATGCTTTGTTCCTCACACTGTGGTGGATTTTCAGAAGGGTGAACAGTAGGTTCTATATTTTGTTTAACAAGTATATTCCTAAGTTCATGCACATTTCTAGTCATATGAATGTCGACTACTCAATCTGCAATGCTATAAATTATCATTCCGATAATATTGAAACCTCCTTGATCATCTATGATATAGGGTGTCAGTGGTGTATACATTTCAAAGATTGTATCAACAACTCCCCAGGATTATCACTCCCTGAAAAAAGTCGGATTCTGACAGGTGTTGGTAAATTCCATCTCAGCGCCCACAAACTTCCCTGCTTTGCAAGATTTAGTCTTAACTTCATTGAAGGAGCGGGACAAGTTGATGGAGAAATTATGGAGACTCTTTGGGCACCTTTCAACAAAATATCACCCACTGCACATTCAATGAGTCAATATCATCAACAAGAAATATTAGATGATCACATGAGGGACTCGAACTGGAAAAAAATGGTTGGAATTGGTGAGTAACCCTTTTAATATCACATATACATAATTAAATATTTCTGTCAGTTAGGATGCTCTTAAAAAAACATAAACGGGCTGTCAAGGGTATCAATGATACCAAGCTTCCTTTTGACGAGCTTACACATACTTTGGACCCTGAAAAAATTGCTATATGGGAAAATGATGAGAAGATGGCAATGGAACTGTGGGGAGATCATCTTGATATTTATCAATTGAAGATTGACAAAGGTAAATCCCCTTTTTTTCATCAAAACATATGACTAATCCAATTCTCAAGCCCCTACAATGGCCGAGATCCAATTAACATTAACAGAATCAGAGACTTCAGATATAGAAAGGCCTGGATCTATTCTTTGGATCATTCAAGGTATTAATCTAGAAGACTCCCAGTACATTGTCTTCATATTTGGTAAAGTAAAATTAAATAATCATAAATCAGGGATGGATTACGTTCAGATGTTCGTCGGCTCCCACATGATGCCACTGCCACTCAGAAGGCTGCTCTTCAAGAGAAACGGCTGAAACTAGCTGTCCGAATTACCAAATTTCATGAGATTGCAGATCAAATGATGGAGGGAGTAGAATTGGATTGGGGTACAGTCCATGTTGATGACCCTCGATTTTGCATGGCAGAAGCTGATGAACAAGCTTGGGAGGTTTCAGATGAAGACGATTCAGAATTGATTGATAAAGAAATTCTGGCAGAAGATATGGTCATCTGGATGCTGTCATCATTGACTCATGAATGTGCTAATGTGCTTGGTCTAGCCAAACTGCAGGAAGAAGAATTAGCCTTGAGAAAAGGTCAAGCTAATGATTGTCTGGAAAAGATCCGATTGGCTCTTGGCCAGAAGGCTGTCATATATCGTCAATACTTTCAAAGTGCAGATTCTGTTTGGACTGGCACAAGGTCAAAGCAGGATGTTCAAAGGTGCAGCCTCAAAATCGAGAAGTTGGTCAGAAGCTATCAAAGGGTGAGATCTGCGATGGAAAGGCTTGGCATGGATCAACACAATCTGGTAAATATTTATCAAGAAATATTGCCAGAACAACTTACTGTCAACAAGGATGTCATTGAAGAGAATAGATTTGGACAAGGGTCTGACAAGCTGGCATGGTTTTGGAGGGTTGACAGTGCTCATAAGAGTCAACAACATGCTTGGATGGACGAATGTGAGGGCTCTTGTCTATCCAAAAAATTAAACTAACAGTATTCTGTCAGTCTATAGGGTTAACTGGCTAAAAGCAAAGGCGAGGTGGAGGAGGTGGGAAGAAGAGCTGACATTAACAAGACATGAAATGCGGTGGACCATAAGTTGGTTTCATCATCAGAAGAGCCAATGGCTTTGGCAGTCCATGGAGGCTATGAAGTCTGGTCATCAAGCCTATGGCCACAGACAGGTGCTGTTGTGGCAAATGTTTGCAGAGGATGCAGAGGACAAGTTCAAGGATCATAAGTTGTAGTACAATAAACTTTACCTTACTGAGTAATGATGGCCAATATTGCTCTGTAGGACATAGGTTCCACCTGGCTGGGCAGTGTCTAAAGCTCTGGGCCGGCCAGTATTTTGTTGTGGGACATAGACTCTACCCGGCCGGTCAAAGTCCAAAGCTCTGTAGGCTGGCCAATATTTCTCTGTAGGATGTAGACCCTACCCGGCCGGTCTGTATCCATATTGATATTGGTTTGGAGGGTAATCTCTGTAAACTTGTCCAGTTCTATGCAATGTACAAAGGGTCTCCAATGTACCATCAAACTCTAGTGGGCTTCACTGACATAATAACAGTTAGCATTACAAGGAATAGTCAGTCTCGATTACAGGTTGGTTAGTTACTTAGATACAACAATAATATTATCTACCTACAGCTGGCCAGCTGTGATCCTACAAGGCTTAAATACAAGCTGGCCAGGAGTGAAAATGTTCAGGACAGACCGGCTGGCCATGATCCTACGAGGCCTAAATACAAGCTGGCCAGGAGTGAAAATATTCAGGCCAGACCGGCCGGCCATGATCCCACATATATAATATGCAGGCACATAAGGCTAGCTACCAAGCTGGCCAAGAGTGAAAATATTCATTACAGACTGGCCAGCCATGGTCCTACATGGCCTAAATATGAGCTGGCCAGCAGTGAAAATATTCAGGACAGCCTGGCCAGCCATGATCCTACGATGCTTAAATACAAGCTGGCCAGGAGTGAAAATATTTATCACAGACCGGTCGGCCATGATCCTATGATGCTTAAATACAAGCTGGCCAGGAGTGAAAATATTCAGGCCAGACCGGCCGGCCATAATCCTACATATATAATATGCAGGCACATAAGGCTAGCTACCAAGCTGGCCAAGAGTGAAAATATTCATTACAGACCGACCAGCCATGGCCCTACATGGCCTAAATATGAGCTGGCCAGCAGTGAAAATATTCATCACAGACCAGCCGGCCATGATCCTACATATATACTTTGCAGGAATATAAGGCTAGCTACCACTAATTTAATTATAATAACCCTAATGTTTATATATTCGAACAGGCCAGCCATGATTCTACAAGCTAAGGCAACAAGCCTAACCACTATGGCTTTTAATAATGATAATGATTCCTGACTAGCCATGTATTTGAATGATGTAGATACTAGCTGGCCGATACCTCCGGCCAATGGCTGGCTGGCCATGATTCTACAAGGTTTTTGCATGTCCAGAGCCATGGTTCTACATGAAAAATGACTGAAGGGTCTGTGTGAGGCCTTGTTTGCTAAAGAGTCAGACCTCTACCTTGATGAAGTTGTGACATAGCTGACTTTGACACACAACATCAGTGTTTCTGTCTCTACACTTTGTTGCAACCTCAAGGAAGCAGGGCTTACACAGAAGTTATTCCACAAACTTGCTGTGGAGAGGGACAAAGAATGCCATCACAAATGGAAGGAGTTGATGTAAACAAACTTTGCTGGTGACAGGTCAGAATTTGCTTTTGTAGATGAAGTCAGCAAGAATGAGATAACATGGGCTTGCCAGTGTTGTAGGGCAATGGCAGGTTGATGTGCAGCATTGCCAGATGTCTTCGTCTGTGGAGATCATCATTCACTCATTGCAGCAATTACCACACAAGGCTACATGGCAGCTCATGTAGTCAAGGGCTCATTTGACAGGAAAACTTTTTACAAGTTTATTGCAACCAAAGTGGTAGGTGCTAATCCACATTTTTTCACATGTATTTCTAAAGTGATTAGGCAAGTGGTGCACAAAGAACGAGCTGGAAAGACAAATGTACATCTCAGTGTTAGGTACTGTGCTCGGACAGAGAAGTGGAGAGGTTGGGGCTTGGCTTCAGCTCTTTCACTGTGTGCTTAGCCAAGTGTGTGCCCCAAATTTGGAGCAGGACTGATGTTGTCTGACAATAGGATGGGTGATCCACTTTGGTCCACTTTGGCTTGCTTTAAGGGTCGGGAGGTAAAGGCTACTAGCAGCAGGCCAACTAGGAGTGGGGTGGATGGAGCAGGGGAAGTAAGTCGGAGTGGAAGGGGACAAGGGAATTGGTTTATTGGACAGAGGGAAGTAAGAGTAGATAACTTAGAGCACAGCTCTAAATTGGAGTGGAGGTGACAACAAGATAAAACTTGTCCGGAGTGAGCAAAGTCATATGGAGAATTCCCACCAGTAGAAACTGAGGGAAGACAAGTAATATTAAGACTGAGGCCACCAGCTAAGTACATGATATGTTTATATACTTCTAAGTAAGGAGGCAGTGATCAGTAGTCCCTAGCATAAGGCTATGTGCTGAGTATTCAATTTGTAAGTATTACTACAGGGGAAAACATAAGTCAAAGCAGATATCTGTCATGAATGTTACCAACTGCATCTAAATTTCGATTATCAAACCTAAGAGACCCTATCCGATAAGATTAGATTAGATAAGATCCCTGATAAGATAAGATGGATAACCGATTAACGATCACTATCTTTACATCACATCTATACTACATCGACGTCATCCATCTATATCTGTAACCCTAGACATCCGAAGTCATCAGATCCTTAGAAGTCCTACGATTAGGCAACGGGTTACATCATAAGCATCTACACGCCTCTATGATCGAACCATAACCGAGAGTCCTTTACAAGCTATCTCTTGAAGAGTCATCACTACTTCACATCGCAGACCTTTCACTTCCCACACATGACACGTTAAGAGTTACCTCTGTCATTCACCGAATCCCTTACATAAGAACCTGTTGCACAGTCACAGCTGGAACCCAGAACCCCTATCACAGAAGCACCACTCATAGAGAAGCATGCTCATTACCGAAGACCCTGGAGAAACCCTTAGATCCGATCGAACTCGATACATCTCCAGATCCCATCTCTTATCGAGATCCCTTAATTACCGCTCGAGACTTCTTGTCACAGAACTCTCTCACATCCTTCTTCATATCCGCTTACCCTGAATAGAAGCAGTACCCTGAGAACCCTGCTTAATTACCGATACCCCTATGAACCCTTTACCCTTTCTTGTAGTTGATTGGTTGATAAGACGCCCTGTACCCTAGGCGCAATGTTATGATCTTATATAGATATATCACTACCTTTCATACTCAGATATCTCCGCCTCAATAGTAGTATATAGTTTAGGTCGTAGTCAGTAGTACTCCTTAGACTTAACCTCTTCGTTCCTACCCAGTGTAGACTCAGACGTTCACTCTCAATCTTATCCTTGCTCTTACTCTTTGACGAGTCCTAGTGGTTGTGTGAAACCTTTGCCATTCGGTGAACGTTGATCATAACAATATCAATATGTACCCAATGGATCAGTAATCAAGTGGTTATAGGAAATACCAGTGATTCAGGAAGTAAGAGCTATGTTCTGAAGGGGAAAGTATATACATAAATGGGGAAAGGGGTTCCAGTTGAATGGAACCTATACAGAAGGTAACCAATGAGGTGGTTGAGTGGGAGCGCAGGAGTGGATGTGGAGACCAACTGGATCAAACAGAGACAGGCAGAGTGGAAATGGGAGGAAAGTGGAAAGGGTATAGGGACAGGTGGAGCAGATATCAATATTGTCAGAGCGGTTGGACCTGATATATGACACTCAGACTCTATGAAAGATCTATGAGCAAGTATGGTACTGTCATATACCTGATCCAACCGCTCTGACAATATTAATATCTGCTCCGCCTGACCTCACACTTTCCCCACTTTCCTACCACCTCCACTTGACCCGTCCTCCGCTCGACCCAGTTGGCTCCCACATCCGCTCCTATGGTTCCACTCAACCGCCTCATCAGTTACCTTCTGCATCATTTCCACTCCACTGGAACCCCTTTCCCCATTTACGTATATACTTTCTCCATTGACACATAGTACTTACTTCCCGGATCACTGGTACTTCCCATAACCACTCGACTAACTGATCTGATGCGTACATATTGATATCCGCTCTGACTTATGTTTTTCACCTGTGGTTACTTACAAATTGTATACTCAGTACATAGCCTCATACCAAGGACTACTAGTCACTGCCTCCTACATAGAAGTATATAAATACATACCATGTACTTAGCTACCCCTCAGTCTTAATATTACTTGTCTTCCCATAGTCTCTACTAGTGGGAATTCTCCATAGGACCCTGCTCTCTCTGAACACAAGTTTACCTTGTCATCACCTCCGACCCTCTGCTCCGACTTAGAGCCGCGCTCTAAGTATCTACTCTTACCTCTCCAACCCAACCAATCAATCCCCTTACTCCCCTCCATCCCAGTGCACTTCCTCCACTTCACCCACTCCGCTTCTAGTCGGACCACCACTAGTAGCATTTACCTCCCAACCCACTGTGGGTACAACAAGTGCAGCGGAGAGAAATCAATCTACTACACAGTTGGGTCTTTGCTGCCTGCTGCCTCGCTTGGGAACAAGTGCGTTCGACCCTTAAGGGGATTGCCACTGGGGAATACTAGTCTCTGTCTAAAACGACCCTACAGGATGAAAGATCTGCAAAAGCGGATGAAGTGGATCTGATGTGAAACGTACGGATTCATCGGATGGAGTGGATGGCACTTGTGGATCGGATGGGATGCGAATCAAAGTTGAAGGAAGTTCATTAAAGGTTGGATGGATAGTGAGTATAAGTCAAAGCAATCTTCTGGTAAAGTGCAGGAAAAGTGGGAGAAAGTTACATGAAGTAAGTATTTTTCGAAAACCTCCATGCTTATAGGGTACAGTATTTTCAAGGAACATAGAGATATAGGTAGTGAGTCTAGACCGTGCCATAAGCTATCTGAAAAATACTGGAGTGTGAGAGGATATGTCTGTGTTCAGTCAGTAACAAGAAAATGCATGTGAGTATGTACCAATGAGGTAGAATGGACATGGACAGGACAGATGCGGTGGATGCGCGAGCTATAGGGGGAGATCCAAAGGTATCCGCATGTCATCCGAAAAGCGGATGGGTATCGGATGGAA